GGTGAAGTTGCGACAGGCCTAGCAAGCCGGCAATGGATTTATTATCGCTACAGAAAACACAATGAGATATAAACGGACTGATCAAACGGTATCTGACCATGGCTATGTTAAGGGATTACGAGTCAGAAAAGCGAAATACAAGATTGCAACACTTAACACCGCTGGCCTGGGAAATAAAACAGAAGAGATTATTGAAATGATGGAAAAAAGGAAAATCAAGGTAATGCGGCTAGCTGACATAAGACGCAAGGGAAATAGTAACAAGAAAATACACAGAGGCTACTTACTAACATATGCAGGAGGAGGAGCATCGAAGAATGGAGTGGGTTTCCTGGTGCATCCGGATATATCTAACTACATATTAGACATACATTATCACTCAGATAGAATTATTACTTTGAAAATTAAAAGAGGAGAACAAGCTGAAACATATTTACAGTTATATGCACCATGCAATGATAATTATACAGAAGAGCAGAAAGATGAATTCTTTGACGATCTGTCTGATGAGATAGAGAAAGTTGAGGGAAGCAGCATACTATATGTAATGGGTGACTTCAACGGGAGGGTAGGAAATAACAGAAGAGAATACGAATAGTTTCTAGGTCCACATGCAGCTAAGAACAGTGATGGAAATGGTCAAAAAATATTGGATCTATGCAGCCAGCACAATCTTTTTATTACAAACACATTCTTTAACTATAGAGATTCACTTTACACTTGGTACAAATGGAATGATGTCTCCATCAAGAGCCAGATTGACTTTATACTTACCAGAGTTCAAGGAAGAAGGAGAATTCTTGATTCAAGAGCAATCCCTAATGGTCTATGTGACACTGACCATAAAATAGTTGTGTTAACAGCAAAACATCTTACATTAAAGAAACACAGAAAGAAATTAACCAAAAACAATGATCTCATCAAGATAGCAAATCTGAAACAGAAAGGAGTAAAAGAACAGCTACAACAGAAAGTAGAGACAGCATTCATACAACTTCCACATGTAGTTGGCAATATTGAAGAAGAATGGAGTAAATATAAAAACACTATGCTTAGTATTGCAGAAGAATTATGTGGAAAACGGAAGAGTGGAAACAGACGGGGAAATAACAAATATTCACCTTGGTGGTGCGAAGAAGTAAAAGACGCAATTAAGAAGAAAAAGGACTTATATAAACAGTGGATAAAATCAAAGAAAGAAGAAGATTATATAAACTATAGACTGCAAAGGAGAGAAACCAACAGGAGTGTCAAGAAAGCAAAACAAGCATCCTGAGAACGTTTCGGTGAGTCATTAGCAGAAAATGAGAAAACAGCCACCAGAAAATTTTTCAAAGTAGTTAAAAATATGCGGAAAAGAGATGAGAGCTACAACCTCACTGAAATAATTAATGATAAGACAGGAAGGCCATTGATAGATCCACCCGAGATAGCAGAAAGATGGAGGGAATACTTCAATGAGCTCTAGGAGATCATCAGGAAAGAACAACCGAAGAGCACAGAGCAACAGTGTTAGAACCACACATACTAATGGATGAAATAGAAAAAGTCATTAAGCAGTCTCCCAAATATAAAGCACCAGGAGCTGATAGATTACAAACAGAAATAATTCAAACAGCAGGTGAAACCAGCATCATATGGCTCTACAGAATATTTAATGCAGCATGGGTACAACAAACTGCACCTATTGATTGGCAACAGGCAATAGTTATACCACTGTGGAAGAACAAAGGAAGCAAACGAGAATGCGGTCAATACCGAGGCATCTCTCTTTTAAGCCATGTTGGCAAAATGATTGCCAAGATAATAGAAACAAGACTGAGACCAGTAATAGAACCACAGCTGGCAGAAGAACAGACGGGATTTAGAAGAAATAGAAGCTGCACAGATGCAATCTTCACACTTAAACAGTTAATAGAAAAGAACATTGAGTAAGAACTTATTTGTGGCATTCGTAGACCAGAAGAAGGCATTTGACAGAGTCGACAGACAATTATTATGGAAAGTAATGGCAAGATATGGAGTAAGCGAACACCTCATCGAAGTGTGCAAAAGTTTTTACAGGGATTGTAGAAGTGTAGTTAGAATAAATCAGGGAACATCTCATCCATTCACAGTAACATCTGGAGTAAGACAGGGGTGTGTCTTATCACCACTGCTGTTTATCACCTATATCGACAGTATATGCAAGAATGCCAAGCCCATGAATGAAAATGTTAGTAAGATCAACGAATTACTCTTTGCAGATGACCAGGCCTTGATAGCAGATACAGCCATGAAATTGCAACAACATCTAAAATCCATCAATGAAGAATGTAAAACAAATAATATGAGAATCAACACTGAAAAGACAGAAGTAATGTCAATAGGAAAAAAAGAAGACAGATCTAAACATAGCAATAGAGTACAAAGGCATTAAACAGGCATCTGAGTTTAAATATCTGGGAACTACATTTACCGAAGATGGGAAATTGGATAAAGAAATTAACATTAGATGCAGCAAAGCAAACCAAGTATTGGGACAGCTAGCCCCCCTCTTACACTTAAGACAATCCCAATCAGCACAAAGAGACATTCAAAGCATATTTATTCCAACTCTGTGCTACCAGTGCCAGACATGGTCACTCACAACAAATCATAAAAGAAAATTAGTAACCATGGAAATGAGATGCCTGAGAAGGGCTGTAGGAGTGACCATAAGAGATAAGATCAGGAATGAGATCATAAGAGAAAAAGTCGGCACAGAACCAATTCTAAATTACATACAAAGACAGCAAGTGAAATGGTTTGCCCACTTATAGAGAATGCCTTGTGACGCCATACAATACAAAGCATACATGGAAAGAGAAGAAGGACGTAGAGCAAGAGGTAGACCAAGAACAAAATGGAAGGATAACATCAGAGAAACTCTACAACAGCAATCTGTTGCCTATGGTCGAGGCGGCCAAAAGAGTTAGAAACAGAACCTCGACACCCACAGCGGTAAAAGAGGAAGTGAAGAAGAAGAAGAAGAAGTACAAAAGAGGCAGCCAAAATCTTGTGGCCCCATTATGAGAAGCGAAAAACTAGTACTTGTAACAACTGGAACAAATTATGGAAAGAGAGATAGTGGAAGACAACGGGACAATATTCTTAGCCGCTTTTTGACAGGACAAGAAAGGATCTCAGCCCACCAACAGATAAATACCGATGGGGGATGGCATGCTGTAGAGACACATGATCTCCTACTCCAGTCGGCAAAGCAATTGATTGTGATATACTACTGGTCATTACAATCTAAATCTAATCTCATAATTGATGCTTTGCTACGACAAACAATCCGTTTATTTATAATGCTCCTTGAAACAGACTGAAGACAAAACAACACACGCAGAGAGATAAAATGTTTTTATAGTCCGGACATTGTCTGCTATTTATAGTTGAGTCAGGTTTGTACACACAAATTTGTTCACGGTCATGTGATACTGGGCCGTGTCTTTTATCTAAACAGCTTGTGACTTCTTACAGAGTTTCTGAACAAACAGCCTCAATAAAAAAGGTAAACTGATGAACTTCGCCTTACGGATGGATACGTTTTGCCTTTTACAGACAAACTGCACGTTTTGTGAATATTTGTTTGCAACACTTTACTCCTCTACTTTATTTGTAATTTCGGGCAATTTAGTTGTGATATAATTTATATTAGAACTATTAGTACTTAGTACTAGTATTTTATATTATAACAATAATAACTGACCTAATGCTTTTCGTCTTCTTGTTTGCGTTTACTTGCTGTAAACTACGACGGCAAGTTCTGGTTGTTTGTTCATTTAAGACTTCTGGACTTTGTAAAAAGTAAAAATAAAGTACCCTTTCCACGCCTTTAGGCTTATAGGGCATATATGGCTAGACCTATATTTTTATAGACCAACGGCACAAGATGGGTGATGTGGTCAGCTTCACTCCGACCGCCTCTACTTCCCGGGACTGCACCCTGTACCCACTCAAGGCTGGGTCGACCTGGGAGCCAAGGGCATTTTTGAAGAAAAGTCCGGCTCTATGGACTTTGATCTTGTTCCAAAACTTGAGTTTTGCGTGCACATTCGTTTTAAAGATATAACCTTTGTATGTCTCTTGTTGGTTCATCAACACATCGTCTGGAAAGACGGAAAGGTGCCAATCATTTGTTGGTTTAAATTCTCTCAGGCAGAAGCAGTTTGGAGGATACACCACAGTTAAGTCGTGCTTGTCAGTGGTAGCGGATCTCTCCCACACCCCCTCCCACCCCCAACTCCACTCCCCTCCCACTCCTTTCCCGAATGGAGCTCTGGAAGCCCATACGTGGAAACACATACTCAACCTGCCTGGTTTTTAACGGAAATGTGTAAAATATATTTGTATTTCAATAATGAATTTTTATATATAATTATGACAGATACATACATAATATATTAACCCCTTCTTTGTTTCCTACTTCAGCTTCATATTGGGGTGGGGGGGGGTGGGGGGTTTTGAAGAATGTGTTAATAAAATTATTTTCATTTCTTTAAAGCTGTTTTTGATGCTACCTTGTGAATATAGAATTTTCTTCTTTTCGTTGTTGGATATTCTTGTCTGGAAAAAAAAATGTAAACAGAGAGGGAGGACCAAAACATGACGTCTACCCCAATACCCAGACTGGTAAATGGTAAAAGAGAAGGTGAAGAAGAAAATGCTTTTTGATTTATTGGTATCATTATTTTCCCTTTGGGCTGTTACTGTGGCTGTCTTAAACTGAAGGACAATACAAATGTGTAATTACTGACCCGCAAAAGAATGTATATTGGGCTTATTTCAATAAAATCTCTTAAACTTTTCAGTTTTGTAACATTTTATTATTTATTTATGTATTTATTTGTGCTATGAAATGTTTTTGATGAAATATCTTGCACAGAATAACTATTAACAACAATCAACATAAACCTGAGAACTGCACCTTTAAGTCTGCTGAAATACAGATTACACTACCAAGAAGTGCTACAATGGCAATCAATCGGCCAGTTTTCTTTCTCAAGGTAAAGACCAGTTTATAAGTTCAGTTATTGTTTATGTATTTACATATTGTCACATAGGTGTTTTCATGGTTTCCTCTCTATATGATCTGATAAAGCAGGATGGCCAGTGCATATATCTACAAGTCTAGTGTTAGGAGTTCAAATCTGTATCAAAGCAGTATTCATTTACCACTACATGGCTTCGAGTATGTTTACCTGCTGACTTGGCGGTTGTGAGTTCAAATCCTCATAAAGGCATGCTATTTTAAAGTTTGATCAGGGCACCTAGCTACTGCTGTTTGAAACTGAAACATGGAAAAGTAAAACAGTAACTCATAAACTACAAAATTCATTAGGAGCTGCCAGGGTATAGCGGCTAGTTGCTTGTTTGCGGATCTGAAGTTTGTAGGTCCAAAGTTACATAAAGCCAGATTTTTCCGAGCATGGTTTTGGCTCCCAGGAAGACCCAGCCTTAAATGGGAACCAGGAAAATTATAGGAAATAAAGGCGGCCACATGATGTTGACCACATCACCCATTAAGTCGGGTTGGTCTAAAAAAAATTAGGTTCTATCCAAATATAAGACCCCCCCCCCCCCCTCTTCGGGCAATATCTCTTCAGTGACTTGTATTTGCTTGCGTTTGCAAAATCTCTCCAGCAATTTGTATGTTCAGTCTTCATCGCTATAAATTTCCTAGAATTAGCAGCATCAGTGCCTGACAAGGTGACCAGCGTTGCTTTCCTGCAACATCATGGCATTTTGCATAGCACCAGACATTGTGGCAATAATAATGCGATTGTACTACCACAACAATAGTCGGTTGTCTTTGCTGCTGCTGCCGCAACAGCAGGTGCCACATTCTGACCCCCTCTCCAGATCTACTAATATATAAAATTATTTTGATTGTCAAGTCATGCATGAACCCAGAAGTATACATCTAGAATGATTGGCTTTTTTAGGGTCACCCCCACTGTACCACAATTTGCAATTTTCCTACTCAATTGCACACAAACAAATCGCAAAACTGCATCCTCCTAGCCAGCACACACACACAAAAAAAGTTGTTGTCAGCTGCTGGCGATATCGAGTGTTCTATATTCTACGATGTGAGCGCTTTTAATGACCCCAGAACATCCACATCTGCCCCTAACATCCCCAACTGACCCTAATGCCAACCCACCTATGTCCCATGAGAGAGTGCAGCCTAGGTCTCATGACTGTATACACCTGAGGTCCTCCACTCCAGCAAAAGGGGAAAAAAATAGAAACCACCCACAAAAACTGCATCCTCCCCATTGCATGAACACACAGAAAAATGCACACCAAAAACACAGCACAAGAAGCACTCTGCACAGCACAAAACTGCACGGCAAATGAAATGCCAAATGACTAAGTATAGGATTCATCTACCACCCCCTGAAATATTAGACTGTCCCGTGACCTGTGGAATTCCCGTGTTTGGGGGGAGATATTTGGAAAGTACTACAAATTAATCTAGCCGATGCATGTAAAGGGATCTTTACTTTACTTATATTCATTAACTTTTGCCTGTGCATAATAGAGGGATTCAAGTGGTATGATAGAATCACTGATGTGAAGCTTTAGGAGAGAAATAAACAAATTCCAGCCAATGAAGAGGCAAGAAAAAGATACTGGCATTGGATAGAAGACACACTGAAAAACCCTAAAACCAATATAACTAGAATGTCCTTACAATTGAGCACACAGGGGCCAGGACATAAATGCAGACCCACAACAACAACAAAAAACACACATGGAAATGAGAGCTAAAAAGTAAAGTTAAAAAAAAAGGGTGGATATGGGATGAACTGCATGCAATAGCAAAGAACAGAATGACTTGTCGTGAGTTTGTTCAAAGTCTGTGCTCCATTGAGAGGTAAAAAACAGAAGTAGAAAGGAGAAGGGCACCAAGCCGGGGTATACTCTGTCTTTGCATTTTCATTTCCCCACCTCAAGAATAGGTCCTCACAAGTTTCTGTAAGCCAGAGCTTTCCAGAAGTGGATCAGATAGGCAAATATATAAATTAGCAAAAATGCCATGAGACAGAAGGCTGTGGACAGGACATAATGACCAACACCACATAGCAGAAACTGTAAGAAGAAGAAAAAAATGCTTGTATATTGTTTGATATTAACTGAAATTTTTTGTTTTTCTTCTCACAGGTCATCTGGTTAACCCATTTTGTGCTGAGCTCATGGTGAGAACCTAATTTAAAGTCTTTAGTATTTGAATAGTCTGTGGAAGTACAAAATTGTCATCATATTCAAATTGTTTAGAAGATGTACCTTAAAGTGTTTGCTGCATTAAAGGACAGGCATGCATGGGAATACCCAGTAGGCTGTGACGTTAATTGTAATAAAATAATATAACATAACGAGTGAATTGGGAGTCGTCGTGGCGGAGCGGCTAAACGCTCGCCGAGGATCGGAAGGTCCTAAGTTCGCTCCCTGGCTGAGCCTGACTTTTTTCAAAAATGACCTTGGCTTCCAGGTGGACCCAGCCTTGAGTGGGTACTGGGTGCAGTCCTAGTCCCAGCACATTAGTCTGCTTCCCCCAAGTCTAATGGCTTATACAGCAATATTTGAGATTATAGGCTATAAGTGACCCCAGGAGTGGGCACAGAGCCGATTGCACCTTTTAAAGGCTATAGGTGACTCCAGGAGTTGGCACATAGCCACATGCATCTATTACAGGCTTAAGTGATCCCAGGAGTGTGCATATAGTTGCATGCATCCATTATCGGCTGTCGGTGACACCAGGAATGGGCATATAGCCACATGCATCTAATACAGGCTTAAGTGATCCCAGGAGTGTGCATATAGTTGCATGTATCTATTATAGGCTTAAGTGATCCCAGGAGTGTGCATATAGTTGCATGTATCTATTACAGGCTTAAGTGATCCCAGGAATGGGCATATAGTTGCATGTATCTATTACAGGCTTAAGTGATCCCAGGAGTGTGCATATAGTTGCATGTATCTATTACAGGCTTAAGTGATCCCAGGAGTGTGCATATAGTTGCATGTATCTATTATAGGCTTAAGTGATCCCAGGAGTGTGCATATAGCCACATGCATCTATTACAGGCTTAAGTGATCCCAGGAGTGTGCATATAGCCACATGCATCTATTACAGGCTTAAGTGATCCCAGGAGTGTGCATATAGTTGCATGCATCCATTATCGGCTGTCAGTGACACCAGGAATGGGCATATAGCCACATGCATCTATTATAGGCTATAGGTGACTCTAGGAGTGGGTGAATAGCCGAACGTGCCTTTGTCACGGACTAGGGTTAAGCCTAGGTGTTGCCTTTGGAGATGTCTGGGTGTTACTGGAGTAAGCAGACAGAAAATGTTCATTCATTGATCATCCTCGTAATGTGTTCATCCATTAATAAACACGACTGACTGAGCTATAAAAGCATACTTGGAGTGAAATAATACAGGGTTCTATGGCAGTGTACATGGTTACGATATAACTTATCAGTTTTACCTGGCCTGTTAATGGTGTTTCTGTTTTCGTTTGCCTCTTTGCTCTCTTTTAGGAACTCAGCAGTAATTTTTGTCTGGGAGAGGGAACTCTTGTGTGTGTGACCCTAAATACTTTGCCAGGTATACAATGTCCTGCATACTACAATATCCCCTGTAAAATTGTTTATATGAATTTTCTATTTAATTTCTTTGCCGCAGAAATACCACTACTACTGGTTAGTTGCGTATCCTTTACAGGACATTGCAGAACCAACCCCAACAGCCCCTGGCTGTTGTGTGGTTTTTCTAGGCAAATTTATGTCCAGTAGTTTGCCATTTCTTTCTTGACAGATGGCTTTCTTGATACCACTGTCGAAACCAACGCAAGGCGCATTGCTCGCAGCTGGGATCAAAGCCGGCATCCCGGCATTACGAAGCGTTCACAGAGCCAACAGAAATACCACTACAAAATACAAATTCATCTTCTTTTTTTTTTCTGCATTTTCCCTCAGAAGGATGCACATTGTGTTGTGGTTTACAACTAGACTTTGACCTATACCATTCAGCCCAACATATCGAACTTCAGCAAATAATTTATTAGTCAACCTTCATTGCAGCCATGCTTAGCATTGTGGGAATAATCCTGTAATTGACCAAATATTCCACATATCCTGTATTCTTTTTCTGTTTTCTGCCATCCACAGGGCTTTATTAAGCAGTTTTGGTGGACTTACAATTTACTTGTATACAAATGTGGCATTTTTAGCTTGTGGACTTTGGGCGATTGTGTTGGTAGAGAGCTCAGACGCAGTTATCATGGTGAGTTGTATATAAATCCAAGGCTGGTTCCGCATGAATAATCTGAGATGTCAGAGCAAACCTAGTTGTGTGTACAAAATCTGAGATGTCCAAGCAAACCTGGTTGTGCGTGCAAAATCTGAGATGTCAGAGCAAACCTGGTTGTGTGTGCAAAATCTTAGATGTCAGAGCAAACCTGGTTGTGTGTACAAAATCTGAGATGTCAGAGCAAACCTGGTTGTGCGTGCAAAATCTGAGATGTCAGAGCAAACCTGGTTGTGTGTACAAAATCTGAGATGTCAGAGCAAACCTGGTTGTGTGTGCAAAATCTGAGATGTCTTAGCAAACCTGGTTGTATTTCAAAATATGAGGTGTCAGAGCAAACCTGGTTGTATTACACAATCTGAGATGTCAGAGCAAACCTGGTTGTATTACAAAATCTGAGATGTCAGAGTAAACCTGGTTGTATTACAAAATCTGAGATGTCAGAGCAAACCTGGTTGTATTACAAAATCTGAGATGTCAGAGCAAACCTGGTTGTATTACAAAATCTGAGATGTCAGAGCAAACCTGATTGTATTACAAAATCTGAGATGTCAGAGCAAACCTGGTTGTGTGGACAAAATCTGAGATGTCAGAGCAAACCTGGTTGTGTGGACAAAATCTGAGATGTCAGAGCAAACCTGGTTGTATTACAAAATCTGAGATGTCAGAGCAAACCTGGTTGTATTACAAAATCTGAGATGTCAGAGCAAACCTGGTTGTGTGGACAAAATCTGAGATGTCAAAGCAAACCTGGTTGTGTGGACAAAATCTGAGATGTCAGAGCAAACCTGGTTGTATTATAAAATCTGAGATGTCAGAGCAAACCTGGTTGTATTACAAAATCTGAGGTGTCAGAGCAAACCTGGTTGTGTGGACAAAATCTGAGATGTCAGAGCAAACCTGGTTGTATTACAAAATCTGAGATGTCAGAGCAAACCTGGTTGTATTACAAAATCTGAGATGTCAGAGCAAACCTGGTTGTATTACAAAATCTGAGATGTCAGACCAAACCTGGTTGTGTGTATAATCTGATACCTCAAACTGGACCTGTTTCTGTGTACATAATTTGAGATCTCTCAGATTTTGCCTAGTTCTGTACAGAATCATATCTGAGACCTGACCTATTTCTGTGTATTAGCTAGTATGTCAAACTGGACGTGTTTCTGTGTACATAAATTGAGATGCCTAGACCTGGTTCTGTATAAATAACCTGAGATGTCGGACTAGACCTGGTTCTGTGTATCTTTTATGACATGCTTGTTAAGGAGTAGTGGGTCTATTCCCAACCCCACATGGAATGGGCCAGGTTCTTCTTTTTCTTAGTGCTCACTGGCTGTAAACTCTGACAGAAAGTTCTGGTTGTTCATCCACTTCTAGACTTTGGTCTTGATTCAAGGCCCCATTGTGGGAAACAAAAAGAATAGACCTATTGATTCCAAAAAAACATCGTAAGAGTTGACTATTAGGGATGCTGCCTTTAGACTGCATCTGCTAGAGAAGCAAGAAACCAACAGTCTGCAAAAAATTAGCCATGTCTGTAAAACGTATTTGCATGCAAAATTAAGGTTCTGGAACAAGACTTAAGTCCAGAAGTGGATGAACAACCAAATCCTTATGCTCGAGTTTACAGCCAGTGAACGCGATAAAGAAGAAGAATATTACATTAATTTTAGCCAGAGATGATGAACAGTTAAATGATTGATAATAACATGTAGTAAAAACAATACATAGCCAGTTTGTATGAAAACCAATACTAAGAAGAAATTAATTACAAAAAATGTTTCTTTTCAGTTCCTGGCCACGCTGGCTGTCAGCGCATTCAACGATATATTAATCCTGGGTCTGTATGAACCAAGATTTCATGTTACCCGTGAGCGCAGTAAGTGTTTCCTTGTTTAACTTTATTGTGAAATTTAAAAAAAAAAAGTAAAGAATCCTTTTATATCACTGATGTTTTGGGGATATGGTGCTAAACATAAATTTGAATAGACAAGTCAACAGCTTTGTGGTGATGTCATGAACATGACAGCCATTGTGGTGATGTCATTAACATGACAGCCATATTTACTGGTACCCATTTTTTGGCTGGGTCAAGCTTGAAGCCCTAGTCAGCTATAAAAATCTGAATCTAGGCAAATGCAAGGCTTTTAGGCTGATAGACAAGCATCTACCCACTGCACTACCCTGGCTCCCTAATTCTGTCAACAGGATCAAGATAATTCTAAAGTGCTAGTCAGACAATAAACTATTTGTGTCATTAATTACATGGGCAGTCAATAGTCTGCTTAATTATTAATTACAAAGGTCAGAGGTTTATTTGTGTTATTAATTACACAGCCACGTAGGAAAAATGTTTGCCAAAATTCTGGAACAACGAATTAGACCCGTTGTAGAACCGATCCTGAGCCCATCACAGGTCGGATTTAGGAAAGGAAGAGGGTGTACTGACGCTATTTTTGCTTTAAGACAAGTTAGCGAAAAGACAATAGAACACAGACATCAAATGAACATCGCTTTCATAGATCAAGAAAAAGCTTTCGACAGAGTAAACAGAAATTTATTATGGAAAGTTCTTGAAAACTATGGTATAAATGGAACAATTTTAGATTGTGTTAGGGCTATTTATAGACAAAGTGAAAGCGCCATTAGAACAAGAGCTGGCATCACAGACTGGTTCCCAGTAACATCAGGAATAAGACAAGGTTGTGTATTATCACCTTTACTTTTCATAATATTTATGGACAATATTAATAAAATAGACATAACACCAACAGATGTCGATAAACAGGAGGACTTCAATGAGCTGCTCTTTGCCGACGATCAATGCATTTTTCACAGTGATAGCAAACAGCTGCAAGACCACATAAACCTACTACACGACAGTTGCCTCAAGCATCATATGAAGATCAATACTGAAAAGACAGAAGTCATGAGCATAAGTAGAGAGCAACAGACCATCGGCATAAAGATTCTAGATCACAGCCTAAAACAAATGCAAGAATTTAAATACTTGGGAACTATCTTTACATTCAATGGTAAAATAGACAGAGAGATCGAAGCAAGAATCCAACAAGCCAACAATGTCGCATACCAGCTTGCCCCAATTTTAAAACACCCTGCTGTCCCAGCTGAGATAAAAAGACAAATTATAAATACAATCTTTATACCGACATTAGGTTATCTATGTCAGACTTGGACATTAACAAAAGAACACGAGAGAAGACTAACCACCTGTGAAATGAGATGTTTGAGAATGGCTACGAATAAAACCAGAAGAGATCGAGTGAGAAACGATGTGATTACAAGAACTATTGGAACCATACCCATCGTTAAATTTATTGAGAAGCAAAGAATGAAATGGTTTGGTCACCTAATGAGAATGGAACCAACGATGCCAGCATCAAGAGCATACAACATGAAAATCGAAACACCAAGAGGCAGGGGAAGACCAAGAAGAATATGGATTGAAGGAGTCACGGACAACTTGAGACTTCATAACATCATGGCATATGAAGCGACTGAGCGCGCCCTGGCTCGGTTGCCGATCATCTGATAGACTGCGACGCCTAGCGGCACAAGCAGATTTTGACAAAAGAAGAAGAATTACACAGACAGGTCAATAGTCTATTTGTGTTGTTAATTGCATAGACAATCAGTAGTTAATTTATGTTATTAATTACATAGACAGTCAGTAGTAAATTTATATTATTAGTTACATAGACAGGTCAAGTCTTTTTGTGTTATTAATTACATAGACAGTAAATTTATGTTTTTATTATAAAGACAGGTCAGTAATCTGTTTGTGTTATTACTTACATAGCTACATAGAAAGTCAGTAGTTTGTATCAACAACAACAAAACATACATACAGTAGTCTGTTTGTGATATAAATGAGATAGACAGTCAGTAGTTTGTATCATAAATACATACAGTCAGTAGTCTGTTTGTGATATTAATGAGATAGACAGTTAGTACTTTGAATCATAAATACATACAGTAAGTAGTCTGTTTGTGATATTAATGAGATAGACAGTCAGTAGTTTGTATCATAAATACATACAGTCAGTAGTCTGTTTGTGATATGAATGAGATAGAAAGTCAATAGTCTTTTCTGTGAATAATCAGATGGGTCAGTAATTACATAGACAGGTTGTGACACTGTTTGTCCTACTCACTGTCTCTGTCTGTATGTCTGTCTTCCTTTCATTGTCTATATTCCTCGGTTTGCTGGTTCTTCTTTGTTTCTCTGATTGTCTGCCTGCCCGTTTGTCATCTTTCTGTTTGCCTGTCTGCATCCTTCTATGCCTTTGGTCCTCTTATTGCTTGCTGACATATTTTTCTGTGCCGGTGTCTGTGGCTTAGGCATTGTGAGCATACTTTTGTAATTCCAGGATACCCAATTTAATTCCAGCTGCAGGCAATTTGGTCGCAGACTTCTTCTTCTTCTTCGCGTTCACCAGCTGTAAACTCTGGCGGAAGGTTCTGGTTGCTCGTCCACTACTGAACTGCAGTCCTGCTCCAGAACCTGAGTGTTGCGTGTGCATCAGTTTTACAGATCTCATTCTCTTGAATACAGACTGTTGGTTCCTTGCCTCTCCGGCAGATGCACTCCGACTTCAAAGGAAGCTTCCCAATTAGTCGACTCTTACGACATGCTTTTGGGGAGGCAGTGGGTCTATTCTTGTTTTCCCCACAACCCACACGGGGGGGGGGGGGGGGGGGGGGGGGGTCGCAGACTGATTTGTGTTGATTTTGACAGGGATATCGAGAGCCAACTGTTTGGAATGCAGTAGCAAACTAATAAATGGTAAAATTGCCCAGTAAAACCAGAACAGCCAACAAATGCTGGGGTTGGTTCTGTAATATCTTGCAAAGGATACCCAAATAACTATTTAATATGTTTATCTATCTTCCCTCTCAGCCTGTATTTCTCTGTTTATGTATGTTTTCCTTTGTATTTGTCTATCAATCTTCCCTCTCCTTGTGCTTCTTTCTGTATACCTGTTTTCCTCTGGCTATCAGTATATCTGCCTCCCTTTTCTACACCTTACGCAATTAAACAAGCACTTTAGTTAATCATCAGGTTAATCAACCAACAAATCAGTCAGCCAGTTAGTGGATAAAAAATCAGTTTACCAACATATCAGTCAAGCATCAATAAATAGATCCATTGATAGATATCTATTCTGTTGGATATATTCAGTCATTATGTAAAGTAGCTAAATATTCTCGCCTGTTTGTATTTGTTTATGTATCCTTTTTTTTTAAACATATTACATTTGCTAACAAATCAACTGTTTATTTATGTGTGTGTGTGTGTGTAAGTAAGTAAGTAAGTAATTGTTTCTTCATTTTAAACATTTAACCTTTTTTAACAGATCCAGTCACAACCAACCAAAGGAATGAATACAGATTTGCATTGGGGTATCCTTCTGAGCACTAATAGTAACTATAGCATGTTAACTCTTTCAGTCCCAGAAGGTTTAGCATCAGAGGCCCAAGGGTAGTAAAGAGAAAAGTTAATGAGCTACGGGAACACTTGTACTGGACAAGGGAAGTATTTTGAAGACCATGTATGAACTAATGTTGACAGAAGACATGAGATTAGATGGAATAACATGGGCAAGAATGTGTGAACAAGGAATAAAGTGTAGATCCGGCAAAGAGGGACAGCAGCACAACGGCAGCACTGTTGGAAAGAACACTTGTATTTTGTTTGGGAACATGGAGATCAGATCCAGTAGGCATTTGCCCTGCCTTCCTCAGGGGTCACCAGTCTTATTTAACATATATACACCAAGTCAGGCACAAATTCAGCCCACTGGACCAGGGCAAACTTTAACATTTGCAGATGATGTCCTGATATATCAAAGCGGGTCAGACAGGCACGACATGACCAGAGACTTGCAATTTTCAGCTAGAATGAAGGGAAAGATTGAGGCAGAACAAAATGGAGCATTTTTATCTACAACTTCAATCATGAGGATCGAAGTGGAGGCAATCACTGCAGCTCTGATTTGGATAGCAGAAAACAAAATAACCAGAGGAATTATTGTGTCTGCTTCTTAGTCGACACTGCGGAAGGTTCAAAAGGGACTAATGTGGCATGAATGGATACCAAGCATCAGCCAACATTGCAGGAAATCACGTGGATATTCTGTCTGAGATATGCAGGAGTGCGAGGGAAAGAAAAACGGATTTTCTGGCTACAAAAGCTAAAGCTACGGGAACACACTTACTGGACAAGGGAGATATTCCGAAGACCATATATGAACAACTGTTGACAGAAGACAAAAGATTAGATGAAATAACATGTGTAAGAATGTGTGAACAAGGAATTAGGTGTGGATCTGGTACCATTGGGCGTATGAGAGGAAGGGAATGACATGTATATAATCAGTGTGCTACGGGAACAGTTAGCATTCTTCACCTTAAGACATTTGCTGCGGGAGACGGAGCACCTATGGGTATGCCAGGTGTGCTATGATGTCGATTTTTAAATCAGTAGTCAGTAAAATCTTGCGTTCAGTAGGCTTGTAGGTAGGGACCTATGAATGTATGATGTTTTCCTTAGGGCTGAAAGAGTTCAACAGAGCACCCGTTTGGGAGCTCAGAGTAAGTAAAAAGTAATGGAGCATTTTTATGCCTTTAACACATCAGGCATATGGTGCCTTTTTAACTTTTTTAAATAGATCAGTGTGCACTTGATGAGTTGTGTGGTCAACATCATGCTGGTCGACTTTACTTTCCAGGACAGAGTGGCAAGCTTCAATTGGAAGGTCACGGGTAGTGAGCATACTTTGGATCTTTTCTCCAGGCTATGCTGACATAGTGGGTAATGAACAGGCAGGCAGATTGGCTGGATCTTCACCACTGGATGGTGAATTAATACATGACAAGGTAGATGTGGTTAAGGCCCTATGGGAAAAAGCAACAAAATCAGTAGATAAACAAGATTATTACGGCCTGGAGAGAATGAGGCACCTGGGTGTAACCAGAGGGTCTAGTTGGCTCACTGCATTCAGAGAAAACGCAAGACGGACATATAACCAGATTGTGACGGGTACCATCAGTATTGAAACTTTGCGCTGGCTGCTGAAGATGAGGACGGAGCACACATGGGAATGCCCTGAGTGCCGTGATGTCAACTCTTGACTCAACAAAACTTAACTTTTTCAGGACATTACCTCTTACTTGGGTCAACCTGGGAGAAAGGTCAGTTTTAAGGGAAAATCTACTTCAATAAAGATTTGAACCATAGATTTTCAGACTAACAAGCGAGCTTCTAACCACTACACTACTGGGTTCCCTGGGAGCTCAGAGAACTGAGTTTAATCTTGTTTCATTAGTCATTTTTGTGTCTATATCTGCCTTCTAATATTCTAAGGAATGAAGCATGCAGCTGCAAGACTAAAGACTGGAATGTTAAATCAGTACTAGTGAAAGCTTAGATATGGATCATCATCTCATGCCGTACCAATAAGCACAGGTGGTCATGCTTCACCATCTCACATGATCACAGATTAGGTCAGTGTTTTTGTCTCGCCCCCCTTCATATGGCTAAGCCATCCAGGTATTTATAGTTTTATTGTGCCTTTTCCATTCAGGCATTTATCGCTGTGTCTTCCCACTTTGCACTTTTCCCATCAGTCTTGCCAGTTGTCATCAGTTTCTCAAGTCTTTTTCTTCTCATTAAAAATTCAAAATATTATTACTTTAAACCTGATTTCTCCTATAAGCATACAGTTTATTCTGCGCATTTCTTTAGCAATCAGTTTCTCTGCTTGTCTGTTTGTTGTCCATATTTTATCTGCACATGCTCTTTATGGCACTCCAATGTTCTTTTATCCACTGTAATTTACATCCCCCTTGTGTATTATGGGGCTCCATTGCGGGTGGAGGGAAATAGACCACTGCCTTCCTAACAAGCATGTCATAAGAGTCGACTAATTAGAGGTTTCCTTCAAAATCGGGGTGCATCTGCCTGAGAGGCAAAGAACCAACAGTCTGTGTATAAATATGCTAGACCTGTAAAATGGATGTGCATGTAAAACTCAAGTTCTGGAATAAAACTAAAGTCCAGAAGTAGAGAAACAACCACAACTTTCTGCTGGAGTTTACAGCCAGTGAGCGCGAAGAAGAAGAAGCATGTCAATATTGGGCACACCGATCTCTGAGGTAGAGTTGTGCATACCTAGGAATGATCTTCTTCCCCCAAAGAGGACCTGTAAAGAAGAATAGCATTTTCTCGTCCTATTGTCGTAACACCTTAACTGTGAATCTCAGTATGTGCATTACAAACTTACTTCTCAAACCTGTGTCGGCATTTGTGTTGTATCGCATTTACCAGAGTCGAGCAAGTGGTTCAGAGTTCAGCTACGGCATCCCAGGCTTGGGTAAGTTATAGATGTTATCATCCTTCATATTATCGTGATTTTTTACATTTACATTCTTCTTCTTCTTTTACTGCTTCGGGTGTCGAGGGAGAGCTGTTGTAGTTTCTCTGATGCTATCATCTTGTTCTTGGTCTACCTTTTGGCTCCCAGGTCGACCCAGCCTTGAATGGATACGGGGTGCAGTCCTGGGAAGTAAAGGCGGCCGGGGTGATGCTGACCACATCACCCATATTGTGCCGATTGGTCTATGAAATACAGGTCTAGCCCTATACGCCTAAAGGCGTGGAAGATGGTCCTTTACTTTTTTTAAAACTTGTACTTGGTCTACCTTATACTCTACATCCTTCTCCTATTTGGGTCTATGCCTTTTAAGGTATTACGTCCCTAGACATTCTCTCTAAGTGGGCAAACCAATGAATCTGCTGTCATTGTGTGTAATTTAGAATTGGCTCAATGCCAACATTTTCCCTTATGACCTCATTTCTGATTTTCTCTCTTCTGGTTACTCCTGCAGCACAGACATATTTTCTTTGTGGTTACTACTTTTCTTTTAAGGTTTCCACAGCTAAATTTAATTTAAACCTATTTGTTTCAAAGTAAAGTAAAGGACCCTTTTCATGTCCCTGATGCATCTGGCGTAAGGTGTCGTAGATTCTGCTTCTGCCAATAACAATTTTTTCAATGCACAAATTGTGGTGAATTTCATTCAGTACCCCTAGGCTCTGCTTCCCATAATCTCTTCATAGCCTGTGTTGTCTGATCCTATCTTAGCATTCAGGCGAGCTATCAATGTTTGTATACAGTCATGCCATTCACTATTTACAAAAATATTCTATAGTTGCTTGTAAAATTCCCCTTAATTTATCCTTATCATTTGTTGTATTAAAGACATTTTTACTTTATATTTTTGGCTGTTCTAAATGACGCTCTTATTTTCCTAGGACTTACTGCTTCACATTCTATTAGTGCCCTCTCTGCCTAGCATTAGGGTGATTCCTTCACTGTAGGGGAGAATGTAGCTTCATAGTGCCTGAGAACAAACTGGTCAAATGATTTTAGAATATCCCCAGTCCATTTACTTTAGCAGAGTCCCTCAGTACTAATCCTATAATGTTTCCATGTTTCATTCCTTTACAACCTTTACTGCACTTTCCACACGGTACACAGTTCTAACATTCCAGGAACTAACACTGGAGATTTTCCTATGTGAAAGGAGGTGCATCAGTGATCCAGACTCCTTTCGGCTCTCTACATATCGGATCATTATTCTTTTATCAGAAGAGCCTCTGCCATCTTGGTTGGCTGGGTATTACTTGCCTCTTTTAGACTTTTCAATGGTTGGTTGGTTTTTGTCTCTAAGTTGCTTCTTGTGACATACCTGTTAGGATGCAGTTTTAATATTCTTTGCTTCTGGTAACACACAGGTGATGGACTGTGTAGCTCAGTGTTTCCCAAACTTGTATTGGTTTTAGCGCCTTTTTTTTTCAATTACAATTTTTCCATGGCGCTCTAACCAAAGTAAAAGTATGACTATTCGTGTCTTGGTTAAATTAATTATGAAGCTTTCACAATATTTCGTGACGCCCCTGTAAAGAGGTTGTGGCTCCCCGGGGCGCCCAGTTTGGGAATCACTGAGGTAGCTGCAGTTATTTATTTTATAATTGCAACCATAAACTGAACAACACATTTAGAACATAAACCCACAGCCTTCGGAGCATGATTTATCATGATGTCTTATTGTTCAGCATTCCAAACCCTTGGGGTTCACTGCTGCAGATACCTCCAGCTCCATTCATCTCTGTGACAGGCCTTCTCTTTCCATTTGGTGACTCCAAGTGTTTGTAGGTCTCATGTATATTATCTCTCAACAATCTTGTTAGTCTGCCTCATGATATACTCCCATTAAACTTTTTTTTTAATGCACTTTTTGTCTTTCTGTTATCTGTCATTCTCTCTATATCCCCAAGCCATAATAGCCCTCATGATTAGTAATAAGTGGAGAAATCAGAACACTTATCAAGGGGAAAATATAAGGAATTGAGGAGAGAACAAACCAACAGTAAATATCCACAAGACCACATCAGCAAACTCAACATACAACAATTTTCCGTCTACGAACAGGACACTGCAGGCTCAACTACCACATGCATAAAATAAAGATTGTGCAGTTCCCACACTGTGCCTGTCAAACAGGACCACAAACACCTGAGCACATTCTGCAGACCTGCCCACTCTACTCACATCTTCGAAAAGACACCTGGCCTCAAGAGCAAAGTGTGCAGAGCAAGCTATGGGGAACCATGAAAGAGCTGCTGCTGATATGTGAATTTATAGAGGCAACCCACCTGATGGTCTGATCTGAGCATACGAAACCGAACGCAAAGAAGAAGAAGTAATTAGTGGCAATTTAAAGACATTAAATAATATCATTATTATGAGATATATTGTTACAAATAATGATTCAACTGGCAGTAAAAACTATGTCTGAAAACATTTCTCCAGATAATTCCAGATTCGGTGGCAGTCATGGGGGCTACAACGATATCGAAAGCAGTCCAGGTCATACAACAATACACGTGAGACCCAACGACCCGCCGCTGTACCAGGCTCCAGCCTACCAAGAACCACCACCAATTGAATTTGACCACCCAGTCAAAGCATAAAAATCTGGTCACGGTATCCCAGCATTTAAAAATCAGTATTTCTATTGTCATCTTCATGAAACTTCAGCATTATTTTTTTACATGTTTGCACACACTCAGAATGCATGTTTTTAGAAAATGCATAAATTTAATTTGTATAAATAAAAAAAGTGAAGGACCCTTGTCAAGCCAATGGTACATCAGGTGTGAAGTACAAGGCATATTTTGTATAGACCAGTAGATGCTCAGTGAGTGATGTGGTCAACTTTCTGCCGACCATCTTTACTTCCCAGGAGATTTCCTAATATCAATTTAAGGCTGGGTCATCCTGGAAACCAAAAGATATTCATATCCTTTTATAAAAGTAACAATGTGCTGTGGTGCCTTGTGCAGTTAATTGTGAATGCAACTACTGCTGATCTGTTGTAACTGCTGCTTCCATGGACAATGAAGTGCATTTCTAGTGTCAGACTGTTTGTGCTGGCAATTCTGATGGCTGCATGTGTATGCTATTGTCTTTGCTGAGACTGGTCTGTGTCAGTATTTTTTGTAAGGGACCGTGATGGACAGTCTGTGTGGTTTTCATCGACAGAGGAGTGGAGCAACTTTGGGCTGACCCGTGTGCAAGGAAGTTGGAGCTGTGACAACCTGATAACCTTACAATGTTGGGGCTGACCCATGTGCAAGGAAGTTGGAGCTGTGACTACCTGATTACCTTACAATGTTGGGGCTGACCCGTGTGCTAGGAAGTTGGAGCTGTGACAACCTGATTACCTTACAATGTTGGGGCTGACCCGTGTGCTAGGAAGTTGGAGCTGTGACAACCTGATTACCTTACAATGTTGGGGCTGACCCGTGTGCTAGGAAGTTGGAGCTGTGACTACCTGATTACCTTACAATGTTGGGGCTGACCCGTGTGCTAGGAAGTTGGAGCTGTGACAACCTGATTACCTTACAATGTTGGGGCTGACCCGTGTGCTAGGAAGTTGGAGCTGTGACAACCTGATTACCTTACAATGTTGGGGCTGACCCGTGTGCTAGGAAGTTGGAGCTGTGACTACCTGATTACCTTACAATGTTGGGGCTGACCCGTGTGCTAGGAAGTTGGAGCTGTGACAACCTGATTACCTTACAATGTTGGGGCTGACCCGTGTGCTAGGAAGTTGGAGCTGTAACTACCTGATTACCTTATAATGTGGTTCAGAGTATCTTGAGCAGAAACTCTCAGAAATGTCTGTTTTTACTTGAGTCAATTGATCGATATTACCTGTTTATTTAAAGCATCATTGTGCTTGAATCTGCATCGAGACAGATTTTTAAAAAAATTGCCATTGGTTCCTAGGTCAGCCCGGCTAAAACAGTTACCAGGAAATGTCCTGGGAAGTAAATATGACTAGCATGATAACTCACTGAGTGTTGATTGCTCTACTGAATCCATGCGTGTGTGTTATAGGCCTCCCGACTAATTAGGAGGAATTATGTTGCTGTAAGTTCCTGGTAAAATATTAAGTAGGATTATTTTGGAAAGACTAAAAGATGCTATGGGGGTCACCGTGGCGGAGCAGCTAGATGCTCACCTGCGGATCGGAAGGTTGTGGATTCGCTGCCTGGCGTAGCCGGACTTTTTTCAAAAATCACCTTGGCTCCCAGGTCGACCCAGCCTGGGTACAAGGAAGTAAAGGCGGCCGGCATGCTGCTGGCCACATCACCCATCTTATGCCGATTGGTCTATAAAAATAGCCCTATACGCCTAAAGGCGTAGACAAAAGTCCTTTACTTTACTTACTTAAGAGATGTTATTGATTAAATGCTGGTAACACCCAGATGCCTCATTCTCTCCAGGCCATAATAATATGTGTGTTATGTATTGTATATTGTAATTTAATTACAGAAACATTGTTTGGACTGTGAGTTGGTGGAGAGTGCTTTGTTGCGAATTAATTGCTTCCTGCAATACTCAAATGTTTTGTATTGTTGACTCGAGTTATTTTTTTTTTTTAAAGTGTATTTACATTTACTTTCTCTTTGGTAAAAGAAATAAAAAATTAATCCTCTGCTGATAACATAAAAAAAATTCTTATCTAAGACAAAAATAATGTTTCCTCCGATGAAAGGAAAATTCCTCTGCTAGTTAAAAAAATAAAAATAAAAACAATTATCAGCTGAAAACATAAATAATTGATCTTCCAATAATAGAAATAATTACTCCTCTGATATGAAAAATTAATGCCTCTGCTGATAGAAGAATTAACTTCCCCTCTGATTAAAGAAATGATTACTCTGCAGGTAAAAGAGAAGCCAATAAAGATTAAATTTGTTTTTGAGAAAAAAAAAGTACATATCTGCCTCAGAAAAAAATAAAAATCTGGCAACCTCTATTGTTTTGATTGTTGCATATTTAAAATAGTTTGTCTTCTTTGGGAAATTAGTGATGTAAGTCATCATGTGAGACTTTCTAATGAACCCAACCATGTTTTAGTTGTCTTTTGGTTTAGTTTACAGAGATCTCCCATTATTAAGGTTGTGCTCTGTCAAAAGTTTGTTCAAAGACCAACAAAGCAGCTGCCATTGATTTGATCTGATTTGATTCAAGAACCATAAGCGCTCCGTCCCCATCTTCAGCAGCCAGCGAAGAGTTCCGATACTAATGGTGCCAGTAGCTTTCTGATTAAACGTCCATCTTGCCTTTCCTCTGAGCCTCGAGCTTCTGCCAGAACCTCTCGTCACCCCCAACTGCATCAATCTCACCAGACTGTGGTGATCCATCTGCTCCTCTGAATTGTACACGCTCTCCCACAAGGCACTAACCATGTCTGCTCTATCATGTATCAGTATTCCACCAAGTTGAGCAAAGACCAGCCAGTCTGTTTGCCTGTTAATTTCCCAACATACCGGCGTACCGGTGAAAAAATCCAGACAATACTCCTCACTCGTGTCCTCTGCAGCGAAGCATGCCACAGCAGCTGCCAGAGGTGCAGTACTAACAGCTGCCACTAAAATTGCTGTTGACTGACAATGGAAGAAACAGGTAGCTGCACATGCATTACTGCATAAGGCATACCACCATTTTTGTGATTGAGCACCAGGATAAGAAGGCTCTCTTGGTTTAGCCAGCTCATCGAAAATGTTGCTGATCTCTGAGCCATTCTAAGACATCTGTCTTATTATAAAAGAATGACATCGCTAAGCCACATTATGAAGTCTGTCTCACTACATGACCAAACATACAAAAAACTACTGATTTCTAAACACAACACAGAATGCTAAAAATATACAAAGATAACAATTTTGCAGGTAATATTTATATTTTTGCATTTCAATATGTGTATGTTGTATTTATGTTTCAACAACCTATAAGGCAATTATATCTGACTGCTCACAGAACTGTTGATGATAAATGCATTTTTAAAAATGTCCAGCAGCAAAGAAACTTTTTTATGAAACAAAACAACTGTTTATTTACTCAAGAACCTTATTTACTACTCTGCTGATATAGAAGTTCTCTCCTGGACTGCCATGGCAAAGATCCAAATCTCAGGTCAGACAGACCAGGACACCACATTCTGTCTGCATGTCAAATGTACAACTTTCAAGGCAAGTATTCTATTACGAGTGCATGGTGGACTGTAAAATTAATAGAAAAAAGTTGTTTTTTTTTTAAACACAGAAAGAAAAATGAGAGAGAAACCGTTTACCTTATGAGAAAACTGCTGTTAAAAATGTTGTCCGGGTGTACTCTCAGCTGACAACGACTATGGAACAGTGATTTTCCATCTTTTTACACCCGCAAAACATGAGGAATTGTTTTGTGGCCCACCTGACAGCTAAACCAAACATAGAAACAAAATGTTGCAGAACCTTCTTCTTCTTCGTTCACCGGCTGTGAATTCCAGCTGAAGGTCCAGGTTAATTGTCCGCTTGGACTTTTGGCTTTTACATGGACCTGAGTTTTGCGTGTACAACCGTTTTGCTGTTCCCTGCCTCGCGGGCAGATGTACTCCGACTTCGAGGGAAGTTGCAGAACCAACTCCAACAGCCCCTAGCTGTTGTGTGGTTTTTTCTAGGTAAAGTTACGTCCAGTAGTTTGCCATTGCTTTCTGGACAGGTGGGTTAAGTACATTCAGGTAATATAATGTAGCAACTTTCCAGGTAACAAAGGGTTAGAATACAACCTGGTAACAGTGAAACAGAAGAAGAAGAAAGAGTTACAATAATATATATAGGACTGATGGTTTTTCACTCCACTTTTGTTTACAGCTTCTTGTCTCCCTTATTCTTCTTTGCGTTCACCAACTGTAAATTCCGGTGGAAAGTTCCGGTTGTGCATCCACTTCTTTTTGGACTTTTAATCTTGTTCCAGAACTTGAATTTTGTATGCATATGCGTTTTACAGATCTGGCCTACTTGTATGCAGACTGTTGGCTCCTCGCCTCTCAGACAGATGCGCTCCAACTTCGGAGGAACTTGTCTCACAAACTGCCAATCATTTCCATATGGTCCTCCACATCTTAATGCCAAACTGTCCAAGTCTGCTTCTGTCTTTTGAATTTCCTGTTACCATAGTGTCAAACTATCTAGAATCTTCTACATCTTCCTCTGACTCTTTCAAGTATTTGATTGCATTTTTTTTACATTATAAAAATATTTATCTTAAAATAAATTTAGTGAAATATCAACTTCATACATCCAAAAAGTGTATCCTCAATTCCAGCAACATTTCCACAATATGATACACAGTGTGGTTCTTCATTTTCTTTTCTAGAAAGAAAGAAATGTGCTAGGCACTCTTTGCTGTCCATAACTTTCAATACTTCCCCAAACTGTCGGTCTATTTTACTGTCAATTGCTCTACTTGCTCTTCCATACAGTTCAACTTCTCCACCGGTCATTTCTTTCAAAGTACTTTCATACATTTCAATATCTCTTAGAACCAACAGATTTAGGTCTACAAAGTCCGAGTATCAGATGTTTTTAAGCTGATCCAGGTCTCGTTTCTCACAAGCTGTGTACAAGTCAGTTCTTCCTAGTAAGGATAAGGTCATTCGTAGCGTGCTCCAAATATTTTCAGACATGGCAGAAACCTGGCCATTGGGACCTCTACTTTCTCGCTGCAGGTTCAAGGCTGTCACAAAATGTTCCACTGCTTCTCTGTGAATGCAAATGAGACATAGTTACTTCAATGCGTTTATTTGGGTTTTGTTGTTGTGTGTGGCCAGTTTAATTAACAGGTAAGACAGTGTGAGTCAAAGTGAAACGTAGAACAGAATGGGTTAAAGTAACAGGCCAGACGGAGTGGGTAAAAGTGTAGAACAGAATGGGTAAAAGTAACATGCCGAACGGAGTGGGTAAAACATGTAGAACAGAATGGGTTAGACTAACAAGTCAGACAGAGTGAAAGTAACAGGAAGGAGAGAATGCGTCAAAGTAACAGGTGAGGCATAGGTTAAAGTTGCAGGTGGAATAGAGTGGATAAAAGTAACAGGTGGGATGGAGTGGATTAAAGTAACAGGTGGGTTAGAGTCAGAGGTGGGACAGAATGAGTTAACAATTGGGACAAATGGGGCTAGTATAGAAAAGTTAGTGGTTAAAGTAAAAGGTGAGGGCCGAGTAGGTGAAAGTAACAGGTGAGACACAATAAGTTAACAAAACAAGCTAGACAATGGGTTAAATTAACAGGTGGTACAAAGTGGGTTAATGTGACAGAGTGGGTTAAAGTAACATGTAGTACAAAGTGGGTTAATGTGACAGAGTGAGTTAAAGTAACGTAGGATGGAGTGGGTTAAAGTAACAGGAGGGACAGAGTATATTTAACACAAGTAAACTGGTTTAAAAGTCTAAGGTAATTTAACAACTGTGGAAGACAGAAAGTAAAGTCCCCTGTGTGGGTTCCGGGGCCCTATTATAGGGAAAACAAGAATAGACCCACTGCCTACCCAAAAGCATGTCGTAAGAGTCGACTAATTGGGAGCTTCCTTCAAAGTCGGAGTGCATCTGCCTGAGAGGCAAGGAACCAACAGTCTGCACACAAATGTGTCAGATCTGTCAAACGGATGCACATGCAACACTCAGGTTCTAGAGCAGGACTGCAGTCTAGAAGTGGACAAACAACCAGAACATTCCACCAGAGTTTACAGCTGGTGAATGCAAAGAAAGAAGAGAAAGTAAAGTGCAGAAAGACAAATGACAAAATGAGTATTTAATTCAGGTGTGTGCTGGTTGGTACAGAACGGGTGACAAATGTAGAAGAAGAAAGATGGTGGGTAAAAAAAGACGTACTTGTATGCCTGCAAGTTGACACAGGCAATGCCCAAGTTGTAGCGGGAACGAATATAGCCTGGCGACAGCTCTAAGGCTCTCCGATAGGCTTCAACAGCCTCCTCACTTCGGTTTCCATTGGCCAGGGTAGCTCCATATTTATTCCATAACAAGGCATCCTGCAAGTCAACACAAGCCTCATTGCTTTAGTCTCTCTCACACTCAGTAATCAACACTTTTTTCACTCTCATAGTAAACAATCAATTTTTCAAAATATAATCAACAATCAATACTTTATCCTTTTCTATACTCAACAATCAATACTTAATACTTCATTTTGTAAATTTTTTTTTTGACTAATTCTGTACTGCCTATAGACACTTTCTGCATGTAGAGCAGGAAAAAAGTGGGGGGCTGAGGATTTAGGGCTGTTCGGCAAGTGCAACTGAACTGTGCAGGTGTGTTTTTACCTTCGGCAGAAAAAACGAGTTCATCACATTAACAAGAATTCAAACCCAGGCCTCCCACAAGAGAGCCCAGCATTTTAATCATTCAGCCAGCCACTCCCCATTTTTCTATACTCAGCAATCAACACTTTATTCTTTTCTACAGTCAATGATCAATACAACTTTAGAACCAGGAGCTTGTAAAATGTATCCAGTTCATAATAATTGTTTCCTTGATTTATTGATCATCTATTTTCCTAAGACTGAATCTGTTGGCCCATTTACTGCAACGAGTTTCATACCTCTACTTGTGACTGACTGCTGAAATGCACTTTCAACTGAGTTTTAAAGTTTTCATTGTTCACACTCACATATACATCAACTGGGACCCATACCTTCTAATGTCATCCCATATCTTCCACATAACAGACATTCACTGTGAAAAGAAGCAAAGAAAAAGGGCATTGCATTGTGTCATGGCACAAAAAGGGAGGGCAATCCCCAGAGACAAGAAATGAGGGTTGAAATGGAGGGAAATCCACAGATACAAGAAACAAATAGGGGTGAAATGGAGGGAAATCCACAGAGACAAGAAACAAAGAGCGGTGAAATGGAGGGAAATCCACCCAGACAAGAAACAAATAGGGGTGAAATGGAGGGAAATCCAGAGAGACAAGAAACAAAGAGTGGTGAAATGGAAGGAAATCCACAGAGACAAGAAACAAAGAGTGGTGAAATGGAGGGAAATCCACAGATACAAGAAACAAAGAGGGGTGAAATGGAGGGAAATCCACCCAGACAAGAAACAAATAGGGGTGAAATGGAGGGAAATCCAGAGAGACAAGAAACAAAGAGTGGTGAAATGGAAGGAAATCCACCCGACAAGAAACAAAAAGTGGTGAAATGGAGGGAAATCCACAGAGACAAGAAACAAAGAGCGATGAAATGGAGGGAAATCCACAGAAGCAAGAAGCAAAGAGCGGTGAAATGGAGGGAAATCCACAGAGACAAGAAACAAAGAGTGGTGAAATGGAGGGAAATCCACAGAGACAAAAAAACAAAGAGGGGTGAAATGTTCTGTCACAGAATAGTAGGGGAAAAGAAACCATGAGGAGGGATGGAACATTGTCATGGTACAGAAAAGGTGTCAGCACTTGAAGACTGTTAGAAACTGCAAGATCTGGTGTAGATCAGCATGACTGCCCAGACCGGCTAGCAAGACACTCGATGTTGATAATGTTTGTTGTTTTTAATGTTGTAGGAAATATACCTGTGGCCTGACTTGAAGTGCCAGGTTAAAACATTCGACGGCCTTGCTGTACTCTCCACTCAGGTTGAACAATATGCCCAGCCCACACTGTTGGAGGAGGAAAACAATAAAATAAGAAGCAATCATAGAAGACTAACTTTTAAGGAACTAAACTGATTTATAGGTAGAATTTGTAACGATACAGACATATAACAGGAACTACCAGCTTCTCTTAAACAATACTACATGTATCTGTAGAGGGGAAGAACTCTTAAACCATACTACAGGGATCTGTAGAGGGGAAGAACTCTTAAACAATACTACATGTATCTGTAGAGGGGAAGAACTCTTAAACAATACTACATGTATCTGTAGAGGGGAAGAACTCTTAAACCATACTACAGGGATCTGTAGAGGGGAAGAACTCTTAAACAATACTACATGTATCTGTAGAGGGGAAGAACTCTTAAACAATACTACATGTATCTGTAGAGGGGAAGAACTCTTAAACAATACTACATGGATCTGTAGAGGGGAAGAGGAGTAGAGGCTGACCAAAAATTACCTGCATATAGAATCTGGCTGAACAGATAGGCCTACAGTGTGCGAACATCAAGTCCACTACATCTGACTGTCAGGGGTGTAAAAAAAAAAGCTGACTCAACAGCAATTGGTAACCTAAACAACAAAAGGTTTTATGGGACTATCAGAACGATGATGAAATGGGCCACTGAGTTAACCGTATGTGTCTATTCCTACCACCAAATATATGGTTGACACATTCGGTTTCTGGGGACAACTTTTATCGAGTTTGCTCTCTAGACAGTAGCAGTCCCCTGCTGACGAGATTCTGTCTTCCCAAGTGAACTGCCATGATCAAAACATTGCGAAGGCAGCATGACCAAGGCTGCCAAAACTATCGGTCATTATCCCGCTCCGACATAGCACAACCACAATACATGCTACTCCCACGAAAAACACATAGTATCCTGCTTTGGAAATGCGAACAAAATAGCAGTCCATGATTATGAAACAATAATCCGAGAGAACTGACAGCCTGCGAAAATAAACACCGCTGCTATCCGCCATCTTGAAATATGTTAAATCTTCTTCTTCACTTCATCTTTTACTGCTCTGAGTGTCAAGGAAGAAATGTGGTTCTGCTTCTTGATCTTCTGGTCACCCTGATCAGACACAACGTGTTAATGTAGCTTCTTTCTCTCTTGTTCTTAGTTTACCTAAAGCTCTACACCCTTCTCCCCTTTTGATATATGCCTTGCATGGTATGGCTTTAAAATGCATTCTCTCTTAGTGGGCGAACCATTTTATTTGCTGTCTTTGTATGTAATTCAGAATTCATTCCATTTGAATGTTTCTTTTATGACCTTGTTCCTGATTTTCTCTCTTCTGGTCATGCCTGCAACCCTTCTCAGATATTTCATTTCTATGGTTACTAATTTTCTTTTTAAGTTTGTTGTGAGTGACCATTGCTACTTGTGTGACTAAATTGTAACAATGCTACTGGTAGAAGAGTGGAAAATCAATATTCGCTGTATGAGATGTCTATGGTAATTACAAGAACCTAATTAGCTAAGGACTTGCCTGACTGACAACAGATATAAGTAGCAAACCACCTAGGTTAAGATATCATATCAGCCATCCCACAGAGTTGAACTGAGATCCGACACCATAGCATTCATGACATTGCTATAAGTGCTCCATCTTCATCTTCAGCAGCCAGCAAAGACTTCTAATTTCAATGGTACCAGTAACAGTCTGATTATATGTCTGTCTGGCCTTTCCGCCAAGTATTGAGTGTCAGCCAGATTCCCTAGTCAATACCCTCTGCATCATTCTCTCTAGATCGTGACTGGGAAGGTTACGGGTAGTGAGCATATTTTAGATCATTCTCCAGGCCATACCGGCGTAGTGGGTTATGAACAGGCAGACAGACTGGCTGGATCTGCACCACTGGATGGTGAACTGATACATGACAAGGCAGATGTGGTCAAGGCCCTTTGGGAACAGGCAACAGAATCAGCAGAGAAACAAGATTGTTATGGCCTGGAGAGAATGAGGCACCTGGGTGTAACCAGAGGGATTTGCCGACTCACTACACTCAGAGGAAAGGCGAGACGGACCTTTAACCAGATTGTGACCAGTACATTCAGTATTGGAACTCTGCGCTGGCCACTGAAGATGAGGATGGAGCACACATGGGAATGCCCCGAGTGCTGTGATGTCAATTCTTGACTCAACTCAACCCAACTCCAGACCGTGATAATCTAACTGTGCCTGCGCACTGTTCAACCTTTTAAATTGAACAGCAGGTTTATTTGTAACTGTAGGACGCCCCAAAATAACTGTTTTATACAGCTGAACAGGGCTTATGGGAAGTGCTGCTATTAGATTCACACCCAAATAGTGGCTCTCTGAGTCAAAAGGATTCAATCTTTCAGGTGTAATCTCAGTGGGGAAAAACTTTAACTGATTGACAACAATTACATTAAAATATCTACAAAAATATTTACTAACTTAACTAATTGATGATAACCACAGAAAAACTATATAAGAAAAAAGTGACTGATTGGGGACAATTGGTCTAAACTTCATAAGAAAATTCTGGTTGTTCATCCACTTCTGATTTGGTCTTGTTCCAGAAATTGAGCTTTGTAAGCACATCCATTTTACAGACCTGGCTGATTTGTACGCAGACTGTTTTCTTCTTGTCTTTCAGGCAAATGCACTCCAACTTTAAAGGAAACACTCCTAATTAGTCAGCTTTGCCTACATGCTTGCTGGGGGGGGGGGGGGGGGGGGGGGGGGGGGGGCACAAGGTCTATTCTCGCGCACATTCCCCCCTCTCCCTACGCAGCCAGAGAACCCACAGTGAGAATCTAGAACTTTGACTGACCGATGTCAATCACAGAAAACTAGCTAGCAACGTAATATGGCTGACCGATGTCAATCACAGAAAACTAGCTAGCAACGTAATGTGGCTGACCGATGTCAGTCACAGAAAACTAGCTAGCAACGTAATGTGGCTGACCGAAGTCAGTCACAGAAAACTAGCTAGCAATGTAATATGGCTGACCGAAGTCAATCACAGAAAACTAGCTAGCAATGTAATATGGCTGACCGAAGTCAATCACAGAAAACTAGCTAGCAACGTAATGTGGCTGACCGAAGTCAATCACAGAAAACTAGCTAGCAACGTAATGTGGCTCACTAATGTCAATCACAGAAAACTAGCTAGCAACGTAATGTGACTGATCGATGTCAATCACAGAAAACTAGCTAGCAACGTAATATGGCTGACCGATGTTAGTCACAGAAAACTAGCTAGCTACGTAGTATGGCTGACCGATGTTAGTCACAGAAAACTAGCTAGCTACGTAGTATGGCTGACCGATGTTAGTCACAGAAAACTAGCTAGCAACGTAGTATGGCTGACCGATGTCAGTCACAGAAAACTAGCTAGCTATGTAATGTGGCTGACCAATGTCAATCACAGAAAAATGGTTCGGACAACAATCTTGAGAAATTACCTGAACATCAGGATCAATCTGTGTTTCTGCAGAAAGTCTGGCTGCTGACAAATATAGTTCTCTGATTTCCTCATGCTCAATGCTAAAAATTTCAAGGAAAAAAAAACATTTAAAAAATAATAGCATAAATAGTCTTGTTAAGCGTGTCTACGGCATTATGTGGGTTTAACGCCTGTGTGTGTGTGTGTGTTTTAGACTGAAGCGCGTGTGTGTGTCTGTGTGTATGTGTGCACGCATTAGAGAGTGATTTTCTCACATAATTATTGCTACAGCCTTCATGGCGACTCCACGGTAACTAGTCTCCCTCAACAAATATGGACAGATCAACACTTTATCTCTGCTTCAATCCTCTGAGGTCCCTGAAATGTCCGACCCATGTTGCAGTAAACAGAACAATATTATATAATAAGTATCATATTTTCTTTCTTCTTCACTTTCCCAGAGGGATGAAACATCAACTGGGACGACATGGGTGTAATCACAATACCGGGGGGTCACCATGGCAAAATTATCTTTTGGAATCATTGCAGGAGCATTGGAGTTTGAGCTTTGTGCAACATACTTGGCAGGCAGCTAGCTATTCTGCACACAGACTAAGCCAAATGGGGTAAAGCCATATGCAACTTTTCTTCACAATCACTATACAAAGGAACCTGGATACAAGCTTTTCGGAATACGAGGTCAGCATTGCCAGTCTCCTTTTTCCCAGAATACGAGGTGAAATTCAGGATGCAAGCTGGAGCGACTAGAGCTCTCGGGTATTACCGAACAGAATCTATAATTTTATATGTTTACTAGGCCACGTTAACATTGCCGAAGGAGAACTTAATTAAGTAACAGGTTATTCTGGATTCGAAAGGTATGATATTGCCTATGTCAGCCGACAATGCACTTGATGATGGTGGACTGTAGCATCATGGTTGGAAGTAACCCACTTTTCCACTGACGGCAAAAAAAAAAAAAAACAATAACAAAGCCGTGCCACGTATTTTCCACCTTGTATACTTGCCTGCTGACCCTGTGGTCAAGTGTTAAAATCCCTCTTCAAGTGAGGACTTTCTGAAAATCTTATCTGGGCTCCCATGTTGTTAACCAAGCCTAAATAGGAGTGTCCAGAAATGTATCTGAGAGGTAAAGATGGCCAGCTTGATACAAGCAGACTAAAAGGCAGACCAAGAAGATGAAGAGATAATATTCAGGCACCCTATACACACTTGGAGGCACTAACCGGAAAGAGTAGGCCAGTCAGAGAAAGGAAAAGCAGTGTGTGATATCTGAAGCAAGTGCTCAGAAGACTGAAGGAGAAGTAGAGGAAGAAAAACGAAGAAGAAGCTTAATACTTTCTACATCGCACATCAAGTGCCAGTTGGTCTATAAAAATATGGAAGCTAGCATCCAACACGCCTCAGGGCATGCAAATACGTCCGTGACCAAGTTATTTAGTGACCATATGTTTTAATTGTAAGTTTCCCAAAGCATGCTCAGAAAAGTGCAGACGTAAGTATACTCTGTGCAGAGTGGCAAGCACCAGAAGTCCCATGCAGTTAGTATCCTTTATATATTTACTTATTTCCTGGGCAGGCATGTGTGTTGGGAAATGAATAGTCAGACAGACTGGCTGGTTCTGTGCCATTTGGCGATAAGATGATGCATGACAATCTAAATGTTATCAATGAGTAAACGGTGCAGAGGCATATACTGATCATGATGGTTTGAAAAGATTGGTGCAGCAGAGGGTGACCAGGGTATCTGGCCAGCACTCAACCTTCAGGGAAAAGACAAGATGGACACAGAATCAGACTGCTACTGGTAACACTGAAACTGTAATTCTGTGTTAGCTGCTGAAGATGGGGACAGAGTGCTAATTAGAATGTGCCAAGTGCCATGATACTGGTTTTTAACTCAACCTATTTACTTACCTGGACATGAAAGTCAACTCTGGAGGTTGAGCAGGAATGTCACCTTGAACTCAACCTATTTGCTTACCTGGACATGAAAGTCAACTCTGGAGGTTGAGCAGGAATGTCACCTTGAACTCAACCTATTTACTTACCTGGACATGAAAGTCAACTCTGGAGGTTGAGCAGGAATGTCACCTTGAACTCAACCTATTTGCTTACCTGGACATGAAAGTCAACTCTGGAGGTTGAGCAGGAATGTCACCTTGAACTCAACCTATTTACTTACCTGGACATGAAAGTCAACTCTGGAGGTTGAGCAGGAATGTCACCTTGAACTCAACCTATTTGCTTACCTGGACATGAAAGTCAACTCTGGAGGTTGAGCAGGAATGTCACCTTGAACTAAATGTGAGTAGCGAGGATTGCGAGCCAGCCAGGACTTCAAGGCATGGCAGGCATGCGAGCCGTATGACTCATTAGTATAGGAGACGGCTAATGCCATCAGTGCTGTTAGGTTGTTTGGGTCAAGTTGAAGGCACCTGGAAGGCAACCAAGAGTTCAGCATTACAGACAAAACAAAATGTATTAGGGTAATACACAGCAGTTACATCACGGTGATAAGCAGCAAACGTGTCATGGAGATCAGCAGCAGCTGTGTTCTAATAACTGCAGCTGCATCATGGCAATAAACAGCAGTTGTGTCATGGCAATAAACAGCAGTTGTGTCATGGCAATAAACAGCAGTTGTGTCATGGCAATAAACAGCTGTGGCATGGCAATAAACAGCAGTTGTGTCATGGTAATAAATGTCAGCTGCATCATGATAATAAACAGTTGCTGTGACATGGTAACAAAGCTATAAAGAACCTCAAGATGTATCTATTCATGTGTATTGTCCAACATTATATCCTCATTATCCAGCCTTTTCTAGAAAATCTCCAACAGTATCCTCATTACCCAGCCTTCACTAGAAAATCCACAAACCTGCCCACTTCATACATCACACAACAGTATCCCCATTTTCCAGCCTTCACTAGAAAATCAACAAACCTACCCACTTCATACATCATACCACAAATAAAATGTCAAGCGTTTACTCCCAGACTGTCTGCATACTGCCCAGGTTTGACATGCAAACAGCTAACAAATTGAACTATCATCAGTGATTTCTGGTCATGCACTTAATCCACTGTAGGTCGAACTGGGATGTCATCTCAAAGTTTCTAAGGTTTCCCCAAAGTTTAGTAGCCAGTTCTACTGGGTATGGCCACATGTTGATTCGCAGCTCTGCCAGGAGAGGACAGTCTTGTAAGACATGCTCTGGAGTCTGTTCAGCATAAAGACACTGAAAGACAGTTGTTTGGCTCATACCTAATTTATATGAGTGTTTGCTGACTCCTCAGTGTCCAGTGCTTAAGTGAAAAATTGTAACCTGCTCTGTGTTTGTTTTCCAATTTGTTTCTAATTTTGACGAAGGTTTCGACTTACGGAAAAGACAGTGGCTGAAGATTTGCATTTTGCTCTGCCTTCTTTGGCTAAAGTGTCAGTCCTTTCATTGCCTCTTTGACACAGGTAGAAGCAATCCACTGTAGGTGGGTTTCGTTTTTTTTTTTTTTTTTGACAACTCAGCATGTTCCTTTGTTAGACTTCATTCTCGGTCTCTAAGTAAGTAAGTTTTTTTTTGTTTTTTTTCTTTTGCCTTTAATCTCCAACAGGCCCTGGGGAAACACAGGCCAAACATACTGAAGATTGCTTTATGCTGCGTTGGATTTTACAAGAAAAATGTCCCTGTGTGGGTTTAGGGAACCCATTAAGGGAAGAAAGAACAGATTTACTGCCCTTAACAGCATGTCATATAGGCAACTAATTTGAGGTTTTCTGAAATCAGACGGCTGGAGAAAATGATGCAGATATCACAGACTAGCTGTAAACCACATCACAACATGCCAATCACCCTTTCAAGGATTAATGTGGAAGAAGAGTTTTTTTAAGAAGAAGAAGAAGAAGACAGCTACATTTTCCTCCCCCAAAAAAACTTCTTAGTCACATTCTAAAATGTTAAAAGTTATCAGGATTGACTTTACTGCATTGAGTATTATCCCATAGGACTGAAGTTTTGCTCAACAAAATGTTTAGCTGCTCGCCGAGAGCTGGCACAAAGCATGAACTCTGCAGCTAGAGCAACAATCCCTATGGATCTTCGTGAAATTGCACTTATGAACCAAACAACCCAGTCCACGAAATGAACCCATGACCATCCAGTAGAAAAACAAATGTTGTATTTATGTCTTCTTTTTCAGCATTCCGAGCCCTTGAGGTTCACTGCTGCAGATATCACAGGCCTCCATTCATCTCTCTGGTTGGCCTTCTCTTTCCAGTTGGTGACACCAAGTGTTTGCAGGTGTGCATGGACATTAATTCTCCTTGGTCTGCCTTGTGGTTGGATTTAGGTTACAACCAGAAAATATAACAATAAAACCCCCAAAATGTGTGTCTACTCACTGTCTCAAGGCGGCTATTGCTGCCAGTTCTTGCTCGTTTTCAGCCTGCGTAGTTCCCAGGTACTGCCATGCCTGAAAGGCGAAGTCAGTCAGAGTTATTCCTGTTACCTTTTCCCTTTTTCACTCACAGACAGTGGTCCTTTAGCTCATTTGATTATATGCAAATTAGTCAATGTTTCAGTGTCAATAAGTTCAGATTATAATATTATTTGAGGGAGTTTCAAATCAAAACCTTCCAGGGTGATAGAAATTACAATAACCATGTAATTGTCCTGTAACCTGGCAATACTGCTGTTAGGATGTGAGGGTGGTTCGACCATCTTTAAACTGATATTATGATTTCATTGTGTTCATCTGCATCATGTCACGTGCTTAACACTCTTGAAATCCTTAAAAACAACATGCACAGGTTGCAAGACAATGGCATAGTTACTGTAATTTCTATTACACTTTTTTAGGTTTTTATTTGAAGTACCCTCGTAGGTGTGAAAGTGGTTAAAGTCACAACCAGGACAGTGTGGGGTAATGTCATGAACGGATGCAGGCAGGGCTGTATTTAGGATGAGTCCCCCTGTGCGGTCATTTATTGTACGCCATTCTTCCCTCAGCTAAACATCAGCATTGCTACATCCATACTATTTTAATGCCAGAACTTTAATCTAATGGTGGTTTTATAAGGATAAAAGCAAGAAAATGATAAACAATTTATTACTGCTAGTTACACTGTGCTGCCCTGTGCAGCTGCACATGTTGCACTTGTTGAAGTATGAGCCCAGGATGCACGAGTTCAGAAGACACGTCTTGCTAGGGAAAATCAATAAGCTCATTTGCATTTATTGGTAACCTCATGTGGGTTCCGGACCCCGTTCTAGGGAAGGAGAAAAAAAAAGAATAAACCCACTACCTCCCTAACAAGCATGTCATACAAGGAGACTAATTAAGGGAGTTTCTTTCAAAGTTAGATTGCATCTGCCTGAGAAATGATGAAACAATAGTCTGCACACAAAAAATCCAGATCTGTAAAATGGATAAGAATGCAAAACTCAAGCTCTGGAACAGGATCATGTCCAGAACTTTACAACGGAGTCTACAATCGGTGAGCGCTAAGAAGAAGATGAAGGTAATGAGAGAGTTAATAAAAAGAGAGGCCCATAACAGGTACAGCCTTTGGGGGTGAGAAGTATAGAGTCTTTACATAAACTAGGCCATGACATACAAAGTAGGGTTGTCAGTTCCCTTCCATATCACCTTTCCTTCCCAGATAATTCCCATCAAATTCTCAACATTGTTTGGTACCCATTTCCATGAGGCTGGATCCCCCCTGAGGCTGTACAGGCTGGGAAACAGGATCCTGTCCCTGGTGGGGTCAACGAAACCAGACCAGTGTGTTAGAAGGCAAGCTTCCCATGTGGGTTCCAGCCAGGGCCCTATTATAGGGGAAAACAGCAACAAACCCGCAGCCTAACCAAAAACAAAACGTAAGAGCCAACTCATTGGGAGCTTCCTTTCCATTCGAAGCCGGAGTGCATCTGCCTGAGAGGCAAGGAACCAACAGTCTGCCTACAAATGAGCCAGATCTGTGAAACGGATGCACATGCATCACTCAGGTCCTGGAACAAGACTACATTCCAGAAGTGGATGAACAACCAGAACTTTCCACCAGAGTTTATAGCTGATGAAAGCAAAGGCAAGCATATTAGCAATTATGTCACCATGGCATTCATTCACTGTCCTACTGTGCCATTATATGTCACACAGGGCATGCCATCTATTTCTCCTTTCAATAGACCCGCTGCCTAACCAAAAACAAATTGTAAGAGCTAACTAATTGGGAGCTTCCTTTCCCTTCGAAGCCAGTGCTGTGTGAAAGATGGGAATTTGGAAGGGCCGAATGTAAGACAGGCCTGCGTGCCTAATTTGTAACCCTTTGAAAATAAAATTTGTTCATTAGTTCATTCAATGGCCTTACATTATTAGACATATATATATATATATATATATATATATATATATATATATATATATATATATATATATATATATATATATATATATATATATATATATATATATATATATATAATAAGTTATAAAATGTAACAACAATACTGCAAATGCTAAAAATAAGTTTCAAAATGTAACATATAAGATATAAATGCAACAAATAAGCTATAAGTGTAATAAATAAGTTATAAATGTAACAATAAGTTATAAATGTAACAAATAAGTTATAAATGAAACAAATAAGGTATAAATGTAACAAATAAGTTTTAAATGTAACAAATAAGTTACAAATGTAATAAATTCAGCAGCTAAGTTCCAGCAGAGAGAATAATAAATACAAGCTGTACTTATATTACTCTATCATGATTGATTTTGTTGTTGTTAGTTTGCAAGCTGATTCATCAGTTGTCTGGTTGGTTGGTTAGTTCACTGGCTATCCCGTTTACTGGTTGTCTGGTATTATTACTCCATTTCCTCCCTAGTGGGTTCCGGGACCCCATTATGGAGAATAAAAGAACAGACCAAAGGTAGGCACCCACCTCAACAAGCACATTTAAAAGTAGATTAATTAGGAGTTTTCAAGTATGAGTACATCTGCTCAAATTGCAAGGAACTAACAGACTACATACAAATAAGTCAGATCTGTAAAATGATTCCGCAGACAAAAATCAAATCTGTAACAAAACCAAAATTCAGAAGTGCACGGACAACCAGAACTTTTCCGCTGGTGAACACGAAGAAGAAGAAGACTTCATTGCCTGATTGGAAGCTGGGTGGTTTGCTACTTCTCTGGTTGGCTGATTTATTGGCTATCTGATTGGTTGGTTGGGAAACCTCTAAAATACTTACTGTTAACATCTTATGTCTAATACAGTGGTGTTCAGTTTGTCGAAGTCCTCAAAAAGTTTTAAACTATCATAGGGAGCCCAAAGTACCATCTCCATGGTAACTGTACTGCATAAAATACAAAAGCCAAACAACGGAAGAAAAAAAATTCCCCACATCCCACAGGCTCCATATCACCAATGTTCATGGCATGAAACATGTCTACACCATATCCCAGCATGCCCTACCTCTGTGTGAGGCATCTTTCTGCACTGCTGCTTCAAACAACAAAAAATAATTCCCCACATCCCACAGCCCCCATATCACCAATGTTCATGGCATGAAACATGTCTACACCATATCCCAGCATGCCCTACCTCTGTGTGAGTCATCTTTCTGCACCGCTGCTTCAAACAACAAAAAATAATTCCCCACATCCCACAGCCCCCATATCACCAATGTTCATGGCATGAAACATGTCTACACCATATCCTAGCATGCCCTACCTCACTGTGTGAGGCATCTTTCTGCACCGCTGCTTCAAACAACACAAAAAATAATTCCCCACATCCCAAAGCCCCCATATCACCAATGTTCATGGCATGAAACATGTCTACACCATATCCCAGCATGCCCTACCTCACTGTGTGAAGCATCTTTCTGCACCGCTGCTTCAAACAACAAGACTGCATTGGGGATGTCCCCAACTGCCAGCCTCTTCTTGCCCTCTTCAAACGGACTCTCATGGTCAAGCAGATGGTTCTCCTGATCAAACTGGTAGTCCTGAGGAAGAAAGTTGTGGAAACATTGTAAAAAAAATGCAGGTGAGATCTGCAACTAGTGACTCAAATATATATTTCAGTTAATGTGCTTGTTTGTAGCTGCTGGCTTGTCGAGACTGCTGCTTCTATCAATAAACTGCAATTCTAGTGATGGACTGCTGCTGCTTTTCACCTCTGATTGCTGCCTTGCAGATGTGATGCATGTGCACACTTTTGGTATTGTCAGAACTGCTTTCTGTTTCACCTTTCACAGGGACAGTGAAGGAGTGTTTGTGGTTTTCGCTGGTACAGTAATGGAACAATTAAGACGGTGACTCATTGCCATGAAGGAGGTAGAGTGGCCTACTGACAGACATTATTGTGAAAACAAAAAATACATTGCACAATTTATTGCCTGGTATACTTTGCTGTGTTTGTGTTCATATTATTTAAATTTACAACAGGAAAACATTTTGTTTTGGAAGACATGTATTGGCTGATTCATAAGTTATATCTTGCTCTTGACCTCTAATTATTACATGACTCTCAAGAGCAACATGCTGCCAAAACCAAGATCTTCTGCACTTTATCTCAGAAAGGAGCATTTTCCTTCAACAAATTTACACCCTTTACAGACATGTTCGGGGCCTGGTTCTTTGGCATTCCCCAGTGCAGTTTCTTCTTATTTTTCTTAGCGTTTAGACTCCAGTGGAAAGTTCAGGTCATTTATTTATTTCTGGTCTTGTTCCAGAACTTGCATTTCCGTTTTACAGTTTTGGTTTTATTTTTTTGTATGCACACTGTTGGTTCCTCACCTTTCAGGCTGAAGCACTTCGAACGAAATACTCATTACTCACCTCTTATGACATGCTTATTGGGGGAAAGGTATGGGATTTGGGAGGGGGGGCGGTATGGGGTGTGGGGGAGGGGGGGCGGTATGGGGGGGGGGGGGGGAGCTTCCCACATAGTTGCCACACATGTTTACAAAATGTTCTTCTTTGGCATTCCCTCTTACAGGGGTGGTAGGCCTGATCTGTTGTGGCTTCCAGCTAATAGATTGTGACATCAATGTCTTTCATCTATTCTATTTTCCCCCCAAAATGGGGCCCCAGATCCCACACAGGAATTACAGAACGTTAAAAAGAAACCAGACTGCTAAAATAAATATTAGCTTCTCTGACCTTGAAAACCTTCGATGTCTCATACTCTGTTAACCAAGGGTGACCTTCCTCGCTGAAAATTAATAATGTTGAAACAAACTTGAGACCAATTCAAGTGCATTATGACATTTTTGACAACACACTACACATGCCCAAAAAAAATATTAAAAACTCATCGTACAGGAGTGGAAGGGTAGGAAGCTGTGGTAGCGAGATGGCTGGGTGCTTACATCCTAGCATGAAGTCTCATTTTCGAATATGTATTCAAGCAGATTAAAACTGACCTTGGCTCCCTAGTAGACCCTGCTTAAAATGGGTGCCAGATACGGTGATAGAAAATCTTCCTCTTCTTCTTCACCATCTGTAAACTCCAGGGAAGAATTCTTGTTGTTCGCCCCTTTCTGGACTTTATTCTTGGTTCAGTACCTTAGCAGTGCCTGCACATCTGTTTACAGACCTTAATTGTCTGCAGACAGATCACAGGAAATAAGGGTGGCCCGCATGATTCTGACCCCATAACCCACTGTGTGCGAAATTGTCTATACAATTTTAAGTCTAGCACTATATGCCTGATGGAGCTGCCGTGGTGTTGTGGCTAGATGCTTGCCTGCAGATCTGAAGGTCATGGTTTCGGGCCCTGGGAGAGCCTGACTTTTTACAGGAATTACATTTTTTCCAGGTCGACCCAGCCTTAAATGGGTACCAGGTATAGTCCTAAAAAGTAATGGTGGCCATCGTGATGTTAACCACATCACGCACCAAGTGCAATGGTCTATAAAATATAGGTCTAGCCCTATATGCCTGAATGTGTCAAAATTGACCCTTTACTTATTATATGTCTGTTGCCCCAAAGTTGTGAAAAAGACCCCCCCCCCCCCCCCCCCCCCCCCCGTTTTTTACACAGCGGTTGGTGGGCGGCAATGGTTTGATGAGGTGTGAAGTGACTTGTTACAGTGCCTGTTTCTTCTTCTGTCTTTAATCTTCTAACGCAGCATGCATAAGCCCTAAACCAGTGGTTCTCAACCTTCCTAGTGCCGTGACCCTTTAATACAGTTCCTCATGTTGTGGCGACCTCCAACCATACAATTATTTTTGTCGCTACTTCATAACTTCAATGAATATTTCTTTTGTGATTTTCTTTGGTGACCCATGTGAAAGGGTCATTCGACCAAAAATAAGGGGTCGCGACCCATAGGTTGATAACCGCTGCCTGAAACAAACCCACCCAAAGCCCCTGTAGATTTCATCATGATTAACTGGATTCTGCAGCTAAGTATTCTTTGGATCACGCAAATCACCAATTCGTCTTGTCCCTGTCCGAATAACATCCGGTAATACTTGCAGCAGGGGAAACCAACCCTAGGCTTCATGAACTCAGGTGGGCGCACTCTCTGAAAATGTCTAGGAGCTCGTAAGCCGAAACATTTGTCAACGAGAGGTTACTTCTACTGAGTGGTAGACCCCTGCTGTACATGCTCCCCTGTGGAGTTTCTTCTTATTGGGAGTTTCAGTAACCATTTTACAGTCTGTTGTATATCCTTTAAAGGGCGTTGCAAACCAACCTCAACAACTGTTGGTTGTTTGTACTTTTACAAGAATATTTTTTTTTCAATACTATAGTTTGCAATTGCTTACTGAAAGGTCAGCTCTTGATAACATTGTCTAAATTGATGCAAAGCGGTCTGCTGACACACAACTCGCAGCTGGAAGGAAACCTGCTATCTCGGGATTAAAAACTGCGTTCACAACCCCTAAGCCACAGAAGCATTTTACTTAATTTCTTCTTCTTCTTCTTTTTAAATGAACACGGGAAAATGCAGAAAAGGAAGAAAAAGATCAGATATGCATAAAAACATCCTACTCTTTCACTTCCTCCCACTGTCTCTGTAGTCTGTCCCAGAATTCTGTGTCTGTCTTATCCTGTGCTGAGGCTGAGAACTCAGCAAACTCTTCCTCCCACTTTTCTGTTAGTGACTTTTCTCCCTGTTGGAAGAAAGTAGAAAATGGTTATTCAATTTGTTTTTGTCTGTGATTGTGAGTTTAACTAACACACTTACAATAAAAAATAAAGTGAAGTTGGATTGCCACAGTTTGACTAATTAACTCACAGCTAAATATAAAAATGATATTTCATTACCACAGTTTGACTTTAAAAAAATCACAGCTGGAGATAAAGTGAAATCTCATTAATACTCCCGAAAACATCCAGCTGGAGATAAAGTGAAATCTCATTAATACTCTCACAAACAACCAGCTGGAGATAAAGTAAAATCTCATTAATACTCTCACAAACATCCATCTGGAGATAAAGTGAAATCTCATTAATATTCTCACAAATATACAGCTGGAGATAAAGTGAAATCTCATTAATACTCCCACAAACATACAGCTGGAGATAAAGTAAAGTCTCATTATATACTCTAACTAGCAAATACCTAGAAATCAAGTAAAGTCTGACCTGAGGTTTTTCTCAACCAGGAAATCACATCGAGCGATAAACACTCCATGACACAAAGTGCCACCATTCGGATGAGGATCGCCCAGGGTCAGGTCCCTGAAACTCTGTTCAACCCATATGTTTAGTTATTTTAGGGTCCCCAGCTACGGCCAGGGTAGGGCTTGAAAATAATGCGAAATTGCATCCTACAAGGGGACAGACTAATATGCGTATAAGTTAGGTCTCACTACCACACTCTAACAAATAAATACAGAGCTGGAGATAAAGCGAAGTCTTACTACCACACTCAAACAGAGATTGAGTAAAGTCTCACTACCACACTCTAACTAATACAGTGCGAACTGCTTAAGGGGAATCTCGGATGTGGTAAATTTATGATGTGAAGAACAACTTGTTTATCCCCAGCAATATTTCTTGCTTGAACTTCTTACCCAGATAAGAGGAATTTCTGATAAGAAGAACCATTTCTTGGGTCCTTATAAGCTGTGCATTGTATACACAAAGCTGAAGACAAAGTAAAGGCACTACCACACTCACAACTAAAAAAAGGCACTACCACACTCACAAATGAAAAAAGGCACTACCACACTCACAACTAAAAAAAGGCACTACCACACTCACAACTAACAAAAAGCACTACAACACTCACAACTAACAAAAGGCACTGCCACACTCACAACTAACAAAAGGCACTACCACCCTCACAACTAACAAAAGGCACTACCACACTCACAACTAACAAAAGGCACTACCACCCTCACAACTAACAAAAGGCACTACCACACTCACAACTAACAAAAGGCACTACCACACTCATAACTAACAAAAGGCACTACCACACTCACAACTAAAAAAAAAGGTACTACCACCCTCACAACTAACAAAAAAAGGTACTACCACCCTCACAACTAACAAAAGGCACTACCACACTCACAACTAAAAAAAAAAAGGTACTACCACCCTCACAACTAACAAAAGGCACTACCACACTCACAACTTTAAAAAAAGGCACTACCACACCCACAACAACAAAAAAAGGCACTACCACACTCACAATTAACAAAAGGCACTACCACACTCAGAACTAACAAAAGGCACTACCACACTCACAACTAACAAAAGGCACTACCACACTCACAACTAACAAAAGGCACTAAAACACTCACAACTAAAAAAAAAGGCACTACCACCCTCACAACTAAAAAAAAAAAGGCACTACCACACTCACAACTAAAAAAAGGCACTACCCCACTCACAACTAACAAAAGGCACTACCACACTCACAACTAAAAAAAAAGGCACTACCACCCTCACAACTAAAAAAAGGCACTACCAAACTCACAACTTAAAAAAAGGCACTACCACACTCACAATTAACAAAAGGCACTACCACCCTCACAACTAAAAAAAAGGCACTACCACACTCACAACTAACAAAAGGCACTACCACACTCACAATTACCAAAAGGCACTACCACACTCACAACTAACAAAAGGCACTACCACACTCACAACTAACAAAAGGCACTCCACCCTCACAACTAAAAAAAAGGCACTACCACACTCACAACTAAAAAAAAGGCACTACCACCCTCACAACTAAAAAAAAGGCACTACCACACTCACAATTAACAAAAGGCACTACCACACTCACAACTAAAAAAAGACACTACCACACTCACAACTAATAAAAGGCACTACCACCCTCACAACTAAAAAAAAGGCACTACCACACTCACAACTAACAAAAGGCACTACCACACTCACAACTAACAAAAGGCACTACCACACTCACAACTAACAAAAGGCACTACCACCCTCACAACTAACAAAAGGCACTACCACCCTCACAACTAAAAAAAAGACACTACCACACTCACAACTAACAAAAGGCACTCCACCCTCACAACTAAAAAAAAGGCACTACCACACTCACAACTAAAAAAAAGGCACTACCACACTCACAACTAAAAAAAAGGCACTACCACCCTCACAACTAAAAAAAAGGCACTACCACACTCCCAACTAACAAAAGGCACTACCACCCTCACAACTAAAAAAAGGCACTACCACACTCACAACTAACAAAAGGCACTACCACACTCACAATTAACAAAAGGCACTACCACACTCACAACTAACAAAAGGCACTACCACACTCACAACTAAAAAAAAGGCACTACCACCCTCACAACTAAAAAAAAGGCAATACCACACTCACAACTAACAAAAGGCACTACCACACTCACAACTTAAAAAAAGGCACTACCACCCTCACAACTTAAAAAAAGGCACTAACACCCTCACAACTAAAAAAGCACTACAACACTCATAACTTTAAAAAAGGCACTACTACCCTCACAACTTAAAAAAAGGCACTACCACCCTCACAACTAACAAAAGGCACTACCACACTCACAACTAACAAAAGGCACTACCACACTCACAACTAACAAAAGGCACTACCACCCTCACAACTTAAAAAAAGGCACTACCACCCTCACAACTAACAAAAGGCACTACCACCCTCACAACTAACAAAAGGCACTACCACACTCACAACTAACAAAAGGCACTACCACACTCACAACTAACAAAAGGCACTACCACACTCACAACTAACAAAAGGCACTACCACACTCACAACTAACAAAAGGCGCTACCACACTCACAACTAACAAAAGGCACTACCACACTCACAACTAACAAAAGGCACTACCACACTCACAACTAACAAAAGGCACTACCACACTCACAACTAACAAAAGGCACTACCACCCTCACAACTAACAAAAGGCACTACCACACTCACAACTAAAAAAAGGCACTACCACCCTCACAACTAACAAAAGGCACTACCACACTCACAACTAAAAAAAAGGTACTACCACACTCACAACTAACAAAAGGCACTACCACACCCACAACTAACAAAAGGCACTACCACACTCACAACTAACAAAAGGCACTACCACATTCACAACTAACAAACTCACAGCCTGTGATGAGGTGAAGTCATGTGACCAGGCCTCAGCGAGCTCATCCATGGACTTGTCAATCACCTGATTGTCTTTGATGCTGATTTCACCATCACCAATCTTCTTCACAAACTTCATGAACTGAAATTCACAAGTAACAAAACATTCAATTTCAGGATCAGGACTGAGACTTGAGAGGCAGGGGGTAATCAGTGTTTTTGTTGTGGGTAGTGGTTTTTCCCCTTACATCACCCTAGGTCTAGTGAATATCTGTTCATGAAAGAAGCATCCATTGCAGAGTCAGCCTCTTGACCTAGCATAATCTCTTTTAGCCCAAGACCACTGTACATGTTGAAGAGCCACATCCTCTCCTGGATAGTCCTGGTAACTGGGAGTGTGAATCGCCATGCAAAACACAATGGATCTAGAGGAGCAAATCTCAATAATAAACCTGGTGCACCACACGTACTGCCTTCTACATCATCATCATAATAATTATTATTACCATCATTACTATCAAATGATGTTTTCATCATCAACCTCAAAATCACCAATGTTGTGATCCATTATCACCAACAACCTGACAAACACTATAACCATCATCAAAATTATGATCCATCATTATCCTCCTCATTCTTTTTAACCTCATCTACCAACTTCATCATTATCAACCTCATCATTATCAACTCCATCATGACACAGGTGATGTCATGTGACCAAGCCTCAGCGAGCTCGCCCATGGACTTGTCAATCATATCTATCAACATTATCATTATTATCCTCATCATCATTTCTGTCATTATTACATTACCATCAATATTGTCACCCATCACCACCAAAGATACCATCATAAGCATCATCAATATTAAGTGTTAACATCACTCTTATCATCATTGTTATCATCATTAGTATTGTAATCTATCACTAATCTCAAAATTATGATCCATTAATTTCCACAAGATAAACCTCCTAAATATTAGGATCCACATCACTTTTATTTTGATCCTTCGCCATCAATTTTATCATAATGATTAACATTGTGATTCAATGTGATCAGCCTTATTATCATCATCATCAATACTCTGATACTTTATCATCAGCCTGATCATAAGCAAACTGTGAATCACTGCCATCTGCCTCATCATCAGAACTCTGATTCAGCACCAACAGCCTCATCATATTTAAAGATACAACCAAGAGTTTAGGTTTTATGGTTTTAGGTTTAGACCATGGACCAACATCATGGCACAAGGGGTAACCCATAAGTGCTTTGTTCTACTTCTGACTCAAGCCTGAGTCTGAAGAATCTCAGCAAAGTGCACGAATCCCATAGCACTGGCGAGGATCCTGAAATACTTTGAGTAGATATTTTTTCAACTCTAAATTTTGCCCCAGAAGCATCGTTAGTCTGTTCTGTTCAATTTTCAACTTTCAAGGGATTCTTTTTTACGTGTGCATCACTACACAAGGGCATCTGATCTTACTAGCCAGAGACCAGAGGACATTACTAGAAGTCCAGGTGAAAAAATCCCAGCCTTCACTGGGGCCGGAACCCGGGATCTCCAGTACTTGAGGCGGACGCCATGCCTCGATACCATGCAGTACCCGCTAACCAAGAGAATGATCCTCATCATTACCAAATAAAGGCATTATTATCAATGTAAACTTCTCCAACACAATAGTTACATGAGTTGAGAACAGCAACATTGTTACTAGAAGTTACTTAAGTCCTTCTAAAAACAAAAAGTAAGAACACAAAAATAAAAACACTCTAGCCCTACCTCAGATTCGTTAATTTTGGGGTCAGTGATAGAACCAAGCAGTGCATTGGCCGTCTGTTCCAATTCCTTGTCGCTCTGATGTAAGGAGTACTCATCCACCCACTTTGTGTCATCCAGCAACTCCTTCTCATACTCTGAAGACCTGATCAAGGGAAAGTGTACGTCAAGATACATAACAGAAACCACAAAAAAAACTCCAACAGTTTCTCAAGTATTAAAGACATCAGCCATACAATCAGAAAACAATGTTTAAATTAAGAGTTAGGAATCAACATCACAGAACTTTGGGCATTCCCATAAATGCTCTATCCGAATCTCCAGCAGGCAGTTCCAATATTAATGATACCCACTCTGGTCAGATTATATGTTCGTCTTGCCTGTCCTTTGAGCACGGAGCATCTAACCAGATTCAGGTCACTCCTGTTTCAAATGTAGAGTAACAGTAGTGATGATGATGACGTTCAACCCCACTGAACGATAAACACCCGGTGACACAAAGTGCCACAATTTGGATGAATATCATTCAACCCATAAGTAGGTTATATAAGGGCCCTCGGCAACATTTAGAGTGGGGATTTAAAACCCAACAAAATTGTGTCAGACTCTGGGACGCAGTAATTAAAATGAAGTAAAAGTGAAGGACCATTTTTATACCAGTGGCCCATCTGTCATTTGATACCCGACTCCTATTTTCAAAGACCAATCGGTACTTGGTGGGTGATGTTGTTAACATCCCCCTGGCTGCCTTTACTTTCTAGGACATTACCTGTTTTCCATTTTAGTCTAGGTTAACCTGGAAACCAATTTCAATCCTTTAAACCTTTTAAAAAAAATCTGACTTATATGGATTTTCTTCTTCAGCGATTTCTGCTTTTAAAATTCACTGTGGGCACAAACTGGGAAGTCATCTCGACTCGAGGTTTCTCAGGTTTTTCCAAAGTGAGTTTTCATGTCTACTGGATGTGGTCACATGTTGCTTCAATGTTCTACAGGAAAGGACAGTCTGTTCAGGTTGAAAAAAAACTGACAGAGAGCTGTTTGGCTCATACCTATTTATTTTTGTTTATTTTTTTTTCAAAGTCTGCAATGCCCTGTGCATTTGCCACAAAATGGTAACTTGGTCGGTTCTGTTAATAGTTTAGATGTTCAATTTTTCTCTTAATGGGGGTTCTCACTTCTGGAAAAGACTGGCTGGTATATTTGTTCTTTGGGACATGAACTCAAGACCTTTGGGCTGGCAGATGAGCATCTGCTTACTACGCTACCACAGCTTTCATTTTAAGTGTAAACATCCATATTTAGTCATGTGACAGAAGACAGATACCGGAGAAGATTGTGATAAATGGAAGGTGGTGAGGCAGAGGTGGTAGGGGTAGACCAAGAGAGGTGATGGATGGATGGTCTAAGATGGTGGCATGGAGGAATATCTTAAACAGAACTGATATATTACACTGAGGACTTAGATCTGGGGAGAAATATGAATGGTTATACCATAGCAGGGCACATAATAGTAATGAAGATCATAATGATGAGGTTAATGATGATGACGGATCACAATATTGATTTAATGATGATGATGATTTTGATGAAGAATCTAACATCTCACAACATTTCTGTATAATAATGATGATTATCAGAAACAGAAATATCACAACAGATATAAAAGTTGGATTCCTGTGAAACTGGGTGTGCGGCCTGTGACTGAAGGACAATGAGGGGTGAAATAGCAAACCAGAGTCGGTGGTTTTCTTGAAGGACCTAATAATAAATTAACAGGCGGATGGGCATAACTAGGTGTACTGCACACCCAATTCATCAGGGAGTGACAGGAGCAGCAGTTCAACAGAATCCTCTAACTCATGCAGCCCAAATTCCCAAAAATCCCTCTGAAGATATGCCTTATCAGTCATCTTCTTTTTCTTACTTACTAACTTAGTTGTCCTTCTTCTATCTTGGGGTTTAGAGGCTTGCCAGAGAGATCGTCAGACTTCTCTATCAGCAGTCTTCTTTCTGGCTTTGTTCCATTTGAGTCCTCTGTCAGGCAGGGTCTGTCGGATGTTGTCTTCCCAGTGACCCTTGGGTCATCCTGATGTTCTGGTTCCCTGGTTCTTGGCCTCCCATAGCTGCCATGGTGGATTCTCTCCCATTCTGTATACATGGCCAAACCATTGTTACTGTGACTGATCCATCTGAGTTTGTAAGGCTTCCTCTTCTTCTTCAGCCTTTCAAGCCCTTAAGGTTCAGATTTCACCTACTTCCATTCATCTCTGTGATTAGCCTACTCTTTGGAGTTGGCAACTCCAAGCACTTGAGGTCTGCTAGTAAATGATCTCTCCCCTGTCTTCTTGGTCTGCCTCATAGCCAACTCCTTTTTTGTATGTGACAACATAAGTGTTATCAGTCACCTAGGCACTAACAAATACCATTATACTGGATGAAGGAACTGGTCTTCATCCCTTGTGATAAATGAACAATAAACATTCACTTCTTTGAAAGATGTATGATTATGAAGAGGATACAATTCCCTTACCAAACTTGCCCATCCAGCTGACTAAGATACTCGTCTGCCAGTTTGCCGTGATCTCCATTCTCTAGGTACTCATGTGCCCACTTGACTTCCTCTGCTCCTCGTAAACGCCCAAATTCAGCTGCCCACTGATCATTACTGCCAGGGATGTGTTTGTTGTTGGCATTACTTGTGGCCAGGAACTCTTCGGTCCAGTTTCCAGCAGTTGCCAGCTCAGCAATGCCTGGTGCTAAAAGGAAAAAATTGTCTTAGTGAAGGGAGTTACACTGAAAGGCAACCTTTAGAATCCACTGGAACTTCCGACACTTCCCATTCAAAAGACATTTCTGAAGACCCAACCAACTTTCTCACATAAAAGCAACAAACCATTGTGTTTAGACTGTGAAATGCACATCCATGTGGACGGACATCACAGAACACTGAACATGTGCTGCAGACATGCTCTCTGGCCAGCTGATATTCCAGAGGAAAAAAAATGTATGGATCACTAGAGATTTTTCCCACCACAGCCTTTAATGAGGACTGTAGCCTTCCCATCTAAAAACCAGTGGCAGGGACAACAAAAAGAAGAAGGCTGCACTGTTCCATTGTCCTGTTAAGCCTGTTGCTCAGTACATCAAATTTTAAAATGCATATTTTGTTTCTTTCTCTAGCCTTTGATTCTCCCCGAACATACCTACAAAGCAGCAAAGTTGTGTTTTTTGTTTTGCCTGGCTGGTATCCCTTAGCCTGTCTGATATGGAAGACCCTGCTAGTAGTGAAAGGTACCTACATACTCTTAGGAGTTCCTGGAATTCATACACTGTTCTACCCACTAAGGTGAGCATACATGCGCAGGATGATGGAAAATATTCATAATAAACATTAAGAAGTTCATCAAAGAGTTGTGCGTGAGGATGAGTTTCTTTCTAAGCCTGAAATAGATTGTCAATATCTGCAATGTTGTATTTTATAAGAAAGTCCATCTTTTTTAGTTCACCAAATGACCAAATCACCACCATCTATTAATTATTTTCTCAAAGAAAACACAAAAGAGAGTTGGGGTTTGGCAGGCTCAGCCTTGTGTAAGTATATAATTATATTTTCAAGTACAATGTCTTTTTTAGTTCAGAGAATGACCAAATCACCATCACCAAATGTCTGTTAGTTACTGTCCCAAAAAGAGTTGGGGTTTGGCAGGCTCAGCCTTGTTTTTGTATGTAATTATATTCAGATATACAATGTGGTGAACTGTAAATAGAATATTTGAAAAGCAAAATGAAATGCTCAGTAAACAAATACTTAGAGAACCGTACATGGTTTGGGATAGGACAAGTTCAAGGGACCTGAGCCGCAACAGGTTCCAGTGCCTATAGTATCAAACACCCTATTTAGAAACCTCGCCTAACATCAGCCACTAAAAAAGCTACTCCCTGTCAGGGCCTCACCTCGCTGAGGTGCATATATCATCTCTGCTCCCTCAATCTCCCTCATTTCCTGGAGAAGACTGCCCATGTGGAAGGTCTGAGGTGCCATTGCCGTGTGGTGGCTGGACAGAAACTCTCCAACAAGCTAAAAAAATAGTGTAAAGAAGAGCTAAAACAAAAAATAGTATCAAGAAGTAGGTAATTATATTAAAAACAAATTTTAAAACGAAATAACTCGACTGTAGTACTTTGTTTTAGCACAGAATCCTTCCTTCAATCTCTGCTTTTCTCTCCCTCCCTGCCCTCCTCTGTCTATCTCTCTTGTGTGTATGTGCACGCACATGTAAAATTGGGTGGGGGGGGGGGGGGAGGGTTGTTGTGTCGGCTGCTATACATTTGAAAAATGTGGAAAAACACATGGTAATATTTAGGGTGGCATACAGCAGTTGCCTAGCAAGGTCAGGTGATACCTGCTGTGAAATATTTCTTGTTACTCCAAGGAATTGCATGACCAAGGCTAAACATCTTACGGACATTCTAGACCTCACTCGTAACATGCAGGTTCTACTAGGGTGTTTGTCTTGCATAATTAACTCTTTTGCTATAGAGGACTCGTAAATACATACACTATGCCTTTACTGGTACTTCTTCTTCTTATTTGCATCGGTTTTGTATGCTCAGAGATCAGACTATCAGGTGGGTTGCCTCTATGAACTCGCATGTCAGTAGCAGGTCCTTCATGTTTCCCCATAGCTTGCTCTGCACACTTTGCTCTTGAGGCCAGGTTTCGAAAATGTAGGTAGAGTGGGCAGGTCTGAACAATGTGCTCAGGTGTGTGTGTGGTCCTGTTTGACAGGCACACTGTGGACTGTACAATCTTTCTTTTATGCATGTGGTAGTTGAGCCTGCAGTGTCCTGTTTTTAGATGTAAAACTGTTGTATGTTGCTTTACTTTCTGTTGAGTTACTTTTAGTTTGTTCTCTTCACAATTCCTTGTATTTTCCCTTGATAAGTGCTCTGATATCTAGCAATGACAATGGATGGGTGAGTTGCTTCTCCTTTGTTCCAATTTTTAACTGGTACCAAAACAGTGAAAGCTTTCAATGGCTGGAAATGCCAACGTCAATAAATGATGTAAATAATTTGGATGTGTTGGCTGAAACATACAAATATCACATCCCTACTGTAATTAAAGTAAAATCTCTTTAAAGTTAATATTAGGGGACCAGAGTGGAAAAAAAAGTTTATGTTAAAAAAATTGTGTTAACCAGATGTATCATAAATTAATAAATCTCTGCTTGGAGCTACATTTTGTTCTTGTAAACTGAGTATTCATCTTAAGCAAGCTTGTAGTAATGAGTTTTAAAGTACGTAAAATTTAAAAGATATCGGACAAAGATTATATCTTTAAGATTCCTTGAATAAAATAAAGAAAATAATAATGAAGAATGCAATTTGTTATTTGGTAAATAATGCCAAGCTTTGGAAGAGAACTCAACAAATCCTAGTGAATTAAGAGGTGAGGAAAAGGCATGCTGTCAATGGATAGGACACACAATGAGAAAACCTTAGACCAGTATAATTAAAAGGGTTTTAAACTGGAACCCACAAGGGCACAGAAACAAAGGCAGCCCCCCTCCCCCCCCCCCCCCCCCCCCCCCCGGGAAAAAAAACATGAGGAAGGAAACTAGAGAGTGAGGTTAAAAAGATAGGAAAAACCAAAAGTGAAATGCATTCGACAGCAAAGGATAGAGCGGCATGGCTTGAGTTGGTTTAGGGCCTATGCTCCATTTGGGGACAGAGGGCAGAAGATGAGAAGAAGACAGAAATGAACTAAATAAGAAGAAAGCAAAATAATAAAGAACCTGTGTGTTATCAAAGTCCATAAGAGAAGCAAAAAATTAAAACAACAGCACTATCTACCATGCATATCATAAGAGGTGACTAATGAGGGTTGGAACCAAAAACAACCAAAGCAGGAATAACAACAATGTAAATTAAGAAAAACTACCTTGTTAAAATAAACTGGCTCAAAAAGAACTCTAAGTTACCACGAAAAAAAATGTTGAGTTCCTGGTTATCCCACATTTTTTTAACATGGAGAACACTTCATTTCTTTTTGTTTCTTTGAATTTGTGTTAACAAGGTTTAACAGTACAATAAAATTTTTAAAAAAAACACACACACACTAGAACAATAAAAATAAGAAAGCAATTACATTATTATCTGCAAGAAGAACTGTAATAACAACAAAACAACCAAACCAACAGTGGAACAAACCTCACCTCATCTGTGGACGCCTGGGCCAAAGGTCTGTGTACCTATAAACACAAAATGCATATGTTAGTCAATCCTCTATTTCATGAGTGTGAAAATTTTGTTACAGATATGATTACAAACATTTACAGGGTCATCACGAATGATTGCCGGGATTTGAAACAGTTATCATAAAACAGTTATATAATGGACAGAGGTGGCATCTTAATATAACATAACATAGCCCTTAACCCGTTAGGATCGTGGAGATGTATAGATGGAGCACTGACACAAAAAACCTGCCATCTTTCTCTGTCTTCCGCTTGGTGAATAAGTGTATAATAACTTACTCCTGCCCTCCTCTTCGACTATCCCCCAATGCTCCTTGAAATACAGTCTTTGCAATCAAATCATGTCTAACCACACGCCCGAACACAGCTAGCTTGTGACGTTTCACCACTGCCAAGAGAGGCCCCTGATATCCTTCAAACTTGTATATTTTGTCTCTGACATATTTGTAAGTTTTGTTTTCTAAATAACTAATTCATAAAATGCGTCTAATATTTACATTCAGAAGCCTCAATTCTCCTTTCCATTTCCAGTGAGAGTTCAACTCTCACATCTGTAGAAGAAAATAGACAATACCAGTGATCTGTAGGTATTGACCTTAACTGCGATGCTGATTTTCTACATTTTAAAATGTTCAGAAAAGTTCAAAGTTTAGTTTGGCATTATGCAACCGTAATGCTTAAAACAGCAAGAGAAGATAAGGAACCCCCAGAACCCTACCGAGAGGGTTGCCGCAGCAATCACAACAACTCTAGACATAATTCACAAGACATGGCAGGAGACTGAATACTGTCTAGACATCACCAGAGCTACAAACAGTGCCCATATCAATGTGGACTTAAGTAAGTCTATAAATTATAAACTTTCGTGAACATTTTAAGATGCCTGTGGCTTAGGCGTTGCAAACGAGCTTCGTTTTGCCGGGGTGCCAGGTTCAATCCCAGCTGCGGGCCTTGCATTAGTTTCAACAGTGGTATCAAGAAGCCAACAGTCCAGAAAGCAATGGCAAACTAATGTATGTAAATCTGCCAAGATAAACCACAACAGCCAAAAAATGCTGCGGTTGGTTCTACAACGTGTTATAATATATGCAACTAACTTCTGATATGTAGATATCCATTTATGTCTTTTTTTTTTTATAAGTTAACAATCCCAGCCATTATTCTCAAAGACACTGTATTTTAAATTGAGTTTGCCTCATGTGAGTTCCTGGGCCCCACTGTGGGAAAAACAAGAACAGACCCACTGCATCCCCAACAAGCATGTCGTAGGAGTTAAGTAATTGGGAGCTTCCTTCGAAGTCAGAGTGCATCTGCTTGAGTGGCAAGGAACAACCAACTGCACACAAATATGACAGTAAAACAGATGCACATGCAAAACTCAGGTCCTGGCACAAAGCCAAAGTCTAAATGGATGAGCAACCATGACTTTCTACCAGATTTTACAGCTGGTGAACAAAAAAGAAGAATAAATTGTGCGTTACAAATTGTCACTTTTATGGGGAGTAAAGATTGACTAAATCAAGTAAACAAATGTCTATTAAAAAACAGAAACAGCCAACAAAAGCTGGGGCTGGTTTGTGACAGTCTGTAAAGCAGGGCTATTTAACTGTACCGAGACTTGGGTCTCTTGACCATGATGATCCATATTTTCAACATTTTGGCCTCCTAGTAAACTAAGTTGAATAGTCCGGCTGTAAAGGATATGCAACTAACTTTAATATCCTGACAACTGTGCTAAATTTCAATTATAAAATGTACAAACCTCATAAGGTTTTGGTGGTGGGAACCTGTTTGCTGCTCCATAGGCTTCCTGAAACAAAACATACAAAAACACTGAAATCCCAGAGTACCTGACTCACTGACTGAACAAAATTAAGGACATTTATTCTTATCCAAAGTCCTGGGTGTTTAGCATCCCTTGGGATATTTTCTCAGGCAACTGGGTGGTGAATTGATCCATGACAAGCTAGACGTTTTAAGGATCCTTTGGGAGCAAAGGCACAAACAGATCATCATGGTCTGAGGAGAAGGGTGCTGCGAAGAGTGCCCAGGGAATTTGGCCAACACTCAACAATTAGGGGAAAGGTAAGACTGACACACAATCAGACAGTTACTGGTACCATCAGAAATGAAACTGCACTTACTCCTGAAGATCGCAATAGAGTGCTTATGGAAATATCCTGAGATCTGTGATGTCTATTCTGAATTCGACATACAAATCCACAATTACAGACTAAAACAATCCTATCCTACTATAAATGCTGGAGCAAGACATCCACACCTGTATGGTTGCTACGTTTACTCAAATAATACATTGCCACTGTGAAGTGTCTTCCTCAATACCTTTTTCCTGACTGATCCTGTAGGTATCTCAGGTGTAATTTGATCAGTTCTAGTTAAACCCAGGAAATAAGGTGTCTATCATCATCATCATCTCGTAACACTAGGTGTTGCTGGGTCACCAGTTTCTGTTGACTGTCTGATAAGCTCTCTCCACCTTTGGCGGTCAGTCGCAATGGACTTCATGACTGCATGCCTGAAGCCTGTCCAGTCAGTCAGGTTCTATAACCAGCTCTTTCTTGGTCTGCCTCTTCTCCTTATTTCCCTCTACTGAGCCCTGCAGTATTGCTTTTGAGAGGCCGTTAGATCTTATTACATGTCCATGCCATTGCATTTTTCGCTTTTTTACTGTGGTTAAAAGAGGTTTACAGTTGCCAAGTCAACAGCACGGTGCATCTCGGACAATATTTCATCCCTGGCGGGGCCCTATCCTCTCCATGTGGCTATTTCCCCGTTAGCCTGTATCCTCACGGATACAGTTTCCAGTCTGCACCACGGGGAGGTAAGATTGGCTTGAGCAATGACGGGACAGCAGCAGGCTACTAATTTTCACTTCTTACCCTCCTAGGAGAGCTAGCTGCCACCAACACTGCTGGCTGCAGTGCCAGGTGTGACCATACCTGTTGTACAACATGAAGTAAATAAAAAAACCAGTATTATTATTATTGAAGAAAGAGAATATGTTCTGAGTGTAATTAAATAAATTTGTGTTAATCCCAGAAATGAAGAGCGGCTGGCTGAATGGTTAGAATGCTGGGCTCTCAAGCGGGAGCCCCGGTATGGCATCCTCTGTAAGGCTGGAGATTTTTTTATGTCGGGGGCAAAATAAAATCCTCACTTGCACAGTCGTGGCGACAGCACTAGCCATGCGGCCGTAAATCCTCAGGCTCAAAGACTTCACTGCCTACACAGCAAAAGTGGTATAATAAAAGCAGTAATTGGCAGTTTCCCAGAAAACAAGGTGTGCAACATTAGGTAAATAAGAAAACCACATTTTGAATTCATTATAGAGACCGAGCACCAACATATTTATCCTGAGTTCAGTGACATCATTTCTAGTTTATCAACCAATCAATTGAAACCAATTAGAGTTTGCTGTCAGGTAATGTTACCTGTTTTAATCCTCTGTCTTGAACGAAGTGGGAGGTGAGCTTGACAAGAGAGTTGGGACCTCCACATTCACCTTCAATTAGACCTCTTCCAGCCATCTTGAAAACCTATAAATGTAGGTACATATAATATTTACATTTGTATGTGTCCATCTCTGAAACCTACAAAGGTATATAAACAAACAACATATATACAGAACAGAGTGTCAATGAGGGGTATGTGGTTGTGTATACAGAGGCATTTTCCCCCTGGAAAAAAGATTGGTATACTGTGTGTGTATTTGGGGAGGGGAGGGGGTATACGTTTAAGCTGTTTTTAGCTTAAAAAATATTTTTATATCCAACCAAACTGTAACATCAAACCTAATTTTTTTTTTTCAATTGAGAATTAAAAAAAAATATAGTCCATATTCGCAGAAAAAAGCCTAGCCTGCATAAATGCATATAAAAAAAGAAGAAGAAGCTTGTGTATGTGTGTATATATATATATATATATATATATATATATATATATATATATATATATATATATATATATATATGTGTGTGTGTGTGTGTGTGTGTGTATAAAATCTTCTACTGCTTAGCATTCACCAGCAGTAAACTCCGGCAGAAAGTTCTGGTTTTCAACATAACTCTTGACTTCGATCTTGTTTCAGAACTTGACTTTTTGTAAGCAGACTGTTGGTCTGGACTGTTGCATCAGAAAGATGCACCCCGACTTTGAAGAAAACTTCTAATTAGTTGCCTATTACAACATGCTTGTTAAAGGTGGGGTGGGGCAGTGGTTCTATTCCTTTCTCCCCCTAAAGTGGCCCAGGGATTACATACATATATATATATATAAATAAAACTATTCATTTTGAACTTCACTGACTTTAAGAAGGCTTCTGGTAGCTTATAAAAACATCACTATGGTGAATCTTGGAATATTATGGTAAACCAATGAAAATATTACTAAAACACTGCAAGAGGCTGGTTACAGAACCTGACTGACTGGACAGGTCTCAAGCAGGCAACCATAAAGTCCATCGTAACTGACTGCCAAAGGTGGAGAGAGAGCTGATCAGACAGTCAACAGAAACTGGTGACCCAACGACTTGTGGTGTTATGGGATGATGATGATGACTGTAAGAGGGCTCAGACTGCTCAGAATGTGCAGTGTGAAATAATATAATAATGGTTTAAATGCTTGGTTTGCTGTTAGAATTGGAGTAAAGCAGCAAAATATTTTACCTCCACTGTTATGCAATTTAGCATTACTAAAAGATAAACCACTAACTGAGTGAAAAAAAAAAATGTTGTGCATGAAATACCAGCACTGGATGGGTTGAGAATATTGTATATACACTACTTAGTAAACTACTAGAGAATCTTGACTGTGCAGACACTTTGCTACTAAATATGAACAGCAATGACATGCAGACAAAAAGTAAGGATCTGATCTTTCTTATTATTTACAATTAACATCAAAACCGGATTACATTTTTCAGACCAGTTAATAATTATAAGATAAATATCGGAATATAAGGCTCTCCTTTCAACTACGGCCGGTAGACAACAGTAGACAGCCGGTTAGTCGGAGTTCTGTCCCCTGGCTGCAGTGCATTTATGGACTGGAGAAGGCACGAATCAGAAAACACAGTGAGGTCGACATGCCTGGCAGACCCCGCGCTGCGACTCAAATTAGCGTTCAATTACCGCTTCTTGTGACGCATTATGGAGTGGAATAGAGGAAACAAAACAAGTGACATAATTACTGTGTGTTGGCAATAGATAGACCCACACCCTAACCCAAACGCTACCCCTAACCCAAACCGTATGATTATAGCAGGGCAGTGCACGCTGTCTATCGCCAACACACAGTAATTATGTCATTTGTTTCGTTCCCTCCTTTCCACTCCGTAATAGCATTGCAGCCAGGGGACAGAACTCCGACTAACCGGGGGATTTACTGTTGTCTACCGGCCGTAGTTGAAAGTAGAGCTTACTGTTAATGAAGTTTAAGACATCTACTGCCAACACGCAGATGTCACTGTCGCATACAAACAAGAGTGAGTAATGTATAGTTTAAAAGCAGCTTTTCCACCAATGACTTATGTAAACTTATTAAACTAAGCTTATGTAGAGTAACTTATTAAACTAAGCTTGTGCAATTTAGTAGTAGCCGAGTTGAAATAACAGCTGTCTGCGCCTTGCTGATTTTTGCTTCAATTTAATAATGGTCAGTACAGTACTCTGCAAAAACGTCACTTTAGAAATATATTTATTATTTATAATATTAATATTTGTTTTACTTCCGATGGGCCGAAAATAAACAGAAAATGAATGATCTGTAAATAATAAATATGAAACAATCATTTTGACACTGGCCCTCTGCTCTGCTTCTTGCACTCTAGTCTTACGGTATATTCTGCCCCCACCCCATATATACTTTCAACAAAGCTGCATATTCTGTCTCACCTGTCAGATGTCAACTATCATCACACCTTCAGAACATTTTAGTCAGCGAAATGATGAAAGTTTTGAACCTTGGCCTGTTGTGTGTCAGACAAACCGAAGATTTCCTACTGCTGGGGTCTAGTCTGTTTCCGGTAGCTACCTGTGAGAGAAAACAATTTGCAGATGATTCTGCGAAGTAATTAAAAGACTTGGGTGAAGAACAGTCAAGCTAGAGAAAAAAAAATGTACTCGCAGTTGAGGTTTTGTGTTTGTAAAGAATGCACGGAATATCGTGAATTAATTTTTTTTAATGTCAGTCCTCCTTGACAATTGGAAGCTGAAAACTGATTAACGTTAAGGAAATTAGACCTTATCAGTCGATGTTTTTCATACTGTTATGAGAAGGAGCGGTTTCATTATCAAGAACCACGGTCAGCTTCAGATTTTTATATAAAAATCTGGAGCTGGCCGTGTCAAGAACAAAGCAATTACAGGAAAAAACTGACGGGACAAGATGAAGAGCGTGCAGAGAGATAAATATGTAAAGGACTTGGCTATATGGATGCGGCGAGACAGAATAGTGATATAAATATGTGAGATGCGATACATGATAACTGACGAACCTGCATATATCGGCACGGCACATGGTAATGATGCTGAATTCTAAACAGTCTACAGCAACTTTTTATATATATATGTATATACATATATATATGTGTGTGTGTGTATATATATATAAGAACTCCACATGGGAGCATGCACAGCAGGGGTCCACCGATCATCAGTACAAAGGTCCCTCATCGACGATTGTTTCGGCCCTTTATCTCACTATACAATCTCGGAAGGTGGGCCGACCTGGTTCATGGTTCAGGTCTCAGACATCCCCTGCTGTACTTTATTGGACTTTCGGTTAGGGACAAGACTAAATGGTAACTTTGCAACAGGTATTGTGAGATTTTGTGTTTTATATATATATTTCGCTGCGGCAGCAGATTAGCCGACTACTTTTACGACCAGAGCGACAGGCTTAAGATTGGTTCATCGAAGAGATGTAGATTTTAGTTAATGGAAGGCAGAGAGACACTGGCAGGCGAATTATCGGACACTTTGCCTTTGAAGGCATGAAACATTCTTTTCCACTAGGAGCTCAGACCAGTCTACCGAAGCCCAGCTCCCACGACGTTTCGCTGGTCCAAGGCCAGCTCGAAAGCCTTTCTGTCCATTTCCTCCAAGCCCAGGTGCTTTAGTACTATATTGTATGTGGAAGTGGAGATAAACCTCTCGCGTCGACCTTGTCAGCAAAGATCTTTATTGTGTAAGCTTCATCTCTCCTCAGCCCGGCCACTAGATCACTGTACTTTTCGAGCTTGTGGAGGTGATTTTCCTTTCTCCTCGACTTGTACGGCATCGTAAGCTCTATCAGGACGAAAAGGCGTTTTTCTGCAGAGTGCAGCACCATGTTTTGTCTCAGGCCGGTCTTTCGGATTGACTCTGGGTACTTCTCGCAACCAGGCAGGTCGACCACAAGTAACCAGTCCCTCGCACTTTCAAGTATTGGTGGAGCGTATGCGACCTTGTTGACTTTACCTTTAGAAATTCGCTCAGCCTTGAGGAAGCGCATGGGGTGGGGCGGGGGGGGGGGGGGGGGACTTTAGGACTTGCACTGGACCTCATCCTGGCTTGATCCACAATGTCCGCAAACTATTTCAGGACTTTGTTGTGGCGCTATTATATCTTCCCTGTCCTAAGGCTTTTCTGCACGCGGAAAATACGTGCTCGAGCGTCTGCTTAGCTCTGCATAGTAGACATGTCGGATTTGTGGACGCAGACCATTTGAAGATGATGGTCCAGAGAGTAACACATCATAGGCAGATCTTATGACAAAGCTCAGTCGCAGCGGGGACGTTCGCCAGATCTAACCCCCTGTGAGTATTCGTGGCAAAGAGCTCTCGAGGCTAATCCACTGGCCCTGCTGCGACTGTTCAGCGACTTAATGGACACAAAACTCGTTTTCGGTGTCCCTTATATGTTGTATTTTCATATCTCTGCGCTCTTTGGCCGAGACTTTGGAACACCAAGTGACTTTTCCATGCCCTAAGCCACTTTTGTCGGTTTGTGTGTAACCCATGACGTCTCGTAATTTTAATGCGTTCTGATCAGATTATATCCCATCTTGAATTTTTTTTTTTTTTTCAACCTGTCTTTAGAGCGGACTGGACATGATGGGGTCTGCAGACTCGCGTGGCATCATCGCAAGTCTGACCTTGCCGACCTTAAACTTTTCGGTTAGTGACTTGAATGGAAGCACCAGCTTAGTCTGTTTACAATAGAGAAGCACATCGGTCAGACAAGGCGGCGCTCTTAGCCACTTTTTCATGGCAGTGTTGAAATTTTTTTCCTCAGTCTCCACTGCACTCTTTCTTACCTCGTGCACAAGCAGCGCCCAGGGGAGCTTGGGAATCAGCAGGAACTGAAGACACCAAACCTTGAACCTCCCTATCAGCCTGCATTGCTTGATAGCAAGCTGAGTACATCTGCTTGAGGGGTGAGAAACCAACATCTACATATAAAAAAGCCAGATTGTAAAACGGGTGTGCACGTGAAAATCATCTTCTGGAAAAAGACGAAAGTCTAAAAGTGGAAGAACAATCAGAACTGTCCACATGAGTTAACAGCAGGTGAACGTTAAGAAGAAGAAGAAGTAAACACCTTCATGATGGTTTGGACATAGTCGACATTTGAATGGATAGCTTGCTTCATGAAGATGTGGCGAGGCATGATCGCCCCAGCCAGTTAACGAGGCATTTAGTGTGTGCACTGTTGCACCTCTCCCCCCCCCCCCCCCCACACACAATTACAGTGATGATTAAGTTAGTAAATAAAGAATCGTTTTCCACGCTTTCACTCTTATTCTGCATATACGGCTAGACCTATATTTTATAGACCAATCAGTCTCGGTGGGTGATGTGGTCAACATGACACCGGCCGCCTTTACTTTCCAGGATTATACCATTGGTACCCATTTGAAGCTGGGTCGACCTGGCAGCCAAGGTCACTTTTTAATGAAAAAAATATCAGGCCCCTTTAGAAGCCTGAACCCACTATCTTCGGATCTGCAGGCGATCGTCTAGCCGCTACACCACAGCGACTTCCACCGTAGTGATTTACAAGTTGTATAACTCTAGGTCAGTCCAACGCGAAGCAAACTGAAACAGATGCCCTCCCCTTTCCGCAGATATTTTTTTGGGGGAGCCATATCTTTACATTTGAACAAAGAAGGCAGGCAGTAAGTAGTTGTACCACACCTGGACATCACACAAGCGATAAACACCAGGTGACACAAAGTGCCACCATGCAGATGAGGATCACCCGTGGAGAGGTCCCAGAAACCCCTTTCATCCGTTAGGGCATATTTATGGCCCGACTATATTCAGGGCTCCCGGCAAAAGCCAGGGTGTGGCTTCAAATAACAAAAAGCTGCATCCCTCATGGAGACGACTAAGCATATATGATGAACAAAAAAGATACAAACATTAGATTGCACGATTTATTGCCTGGCATGTTTCACTGTATCTCCTCATGTGCATACTACAGTTATAATTAAATAAAATAAAATTAAAAAAAAACGAATCATTGGAACTTAAACACTAAATCGACCACAATCACAAACTCCTAGTTTTACCAGGGTATCTTATCTTTACACTCTATGGTGACCGGCCCACTGGGGTCTGGACTTTCCCCCCGTCTAGGATTGCATGAGGGATTAATACCGGGTGACTCAGGGAAAGGCTGTTTTGGACGATAAACAAATAGGGGGGAAATATCAGAAACCTAGATCACTTGAATAGCAAGTTGTATTAGGAAATCAGGCGGTTATAAAGTACTCAAATAATGGTAGATAGTTCATGGTAGTACATTCTGACGTCTTTGGGTTCTTTTTTTTAATCGTGGGTAGTTCACGGAAAAGTCCAATAGTATAGAGGTGTAAGAATGTAAAATCAACACAAACACTTAACCCCCCCCCCCCCCACACACACACAATATTGGACTTTCCCGGAAACTCGCCACGAAATCTTGGGGTCTCGAGATAGGGTGAACTAAATGAACAGATCCCCTTTTGGGGATGTCATACATCCACACACACACACACACACACACACACACACACACATGCACGCATACGCGCACACAGACACACATATTACACATTCGTCAGATCCCTCATTTATGTGATTTATGTAAACACGCAAATCTCCGCTGACGTAATATCGGTTAGGGCAGCGGTTCTCTACCTGTGGGTCACGACCTTTTTGTGGGTCAAACTACTCTTTCATAGGGGTCGCCAAAGACCACCGGAAAACACATATTTACTCAAGTTATGAAGTGGCAACAAAAATATGTGTACGGCTAGGGGGGTTGTCACATCAAGAGGAACTGTAACATTAAAGGATCGCAGCATTAGGAAGGTTGAGAGCCACTGCGCTAGGGCAACAGTTTAGCTTGGTGGATCTCCTTTCAGCTCCCTCCACCCACGACCGATCCTCCGATTGCCTCCGAATGTGCAGACTGCAAACCAAACAGTCCCACCCACCACACGCAGCTTGTAACGCCGTGTGTCTCCTCTCTTTCTCCGTGTTTGTCTGACGCCGAGAAACGTTTCGCCATTTCGGTCGCGGACCAGTAGAGGAATGTCTGCCTGTGTTCGTGTTCACAGTTTCGGTTTCTGTGATTCTAATTAATTTCTAGGCGCTCGGCCACTCCACTCGTTCACCAGACGCGGTGTTTATTGCATCTACTCGTTAGTATCGGCATAAAACTGTTTAGTTACACTTCGGTTTAATTCATTATATTTGTATAGTTGTGGTACGTCCAGAATAACAACATACACTTTTTTTTTTTTTTAATTAGTAACACTTATAGTATAGTATAAGAATTATAAAAAACACACTGTTTATATTCAGTTATAAAGGATTTCATCATCCCAAGTAGTATAATATAATATAATAATAAGTAAAATATAATAAAATATAATATACTTTTTTTTTTTAAATATCGTATTCATTATTACAGTATACAGTAACTAATAATACTAATAATAACTAAAAACTCTGTTATCTCACAGAAACATTTAAATTTGTGTTAAAAAGTGCTTGTGTAAACAGACACAATATTTGTTATGCGCGAATCAGTGTTCTTGAAAATGTCATTAAAACGGTTTGGTTTACCCCTTTGGGGTTCTTGCTTGCTGTTGATACTGGTCCTTGATTTCTCGCCATCTGAGACTGCGGGTAAGTCTTAAAGTTCTAATTAGAAGATTTAGTAGTAATGGTAGCAGCAGTAGGTTGTAGTACTAGTAGTTAGTAGTAGTAGTAGGCACTAGAAGCCTTGGTAGTAGTAATAGCAGCAGTAGGTTGTACTAGTGTAGTAGGCACTAGAACTAGAAGCCTTGGTTGGTAGTAGTGGTAGCAGCAGTAGTATTATTAGTACTATTACTAGTAATAGTGCAGATAATATCTAGTTGAATCGTTATTATTGTGTTTATGTCAGATATCTTATTCAACCGTTATATGTTTTTAAAATATTTAGAATGTACATTTATTTTTATTCATTAAAAAGCCACAGTTGGGCTAACCACACAGTTGTTTAAATTAGACTTTATATTTTATATTTTATAATGACCTTTTCTTCAAATCACATGAGATGTCTTTTTTTCGGCTATCCTTCGAATAACGGTCCCAAATTATCGAGGCCGAAAATACACCCTCAGGGCCTCAGTCACATGTAAATTGCGAACTTCCGGCGACTACCGCCACCTCCGAGAGTATCTCCCACGCCACGCGTAGCGGCGTGGAGCTGGGCTAAACTAGATGGCTGAGACTCACGAGCAGCAGCTACCGCATCTCCTGCAGCTTCCTTCATTATAGTAGTCGCCGGAAGTCCACAATTCACATGTGACTGAGGTCCTGTTAGGGTATATTTTTGGCCTCGATAATTTGAGACCGTTATTCGGAGGATAGCCTTTTTTTTCCCCTCTCTGAGATTGGAATGTTGACAACAATATTATGTAAATATCCTCGGGCTCAAGGACCCCCCCCCCCCCCCAACACCTGTCTACACTGCGCTACAAAGCTGTATAACAGACAGTAGTGGCATTGTTTTTATTTGTTTGTAGACAGAAGGTTTGTCCCCTCCAGGACTATAGTAGTGAGCAGGATTAACACCTTAAGGATGAAAACCCTGTCTACACGTCCATATCCCTGATACCCCGTTTAGCCTTATATAATAGTTAAATTGGGATCCATAATAATGATTACATGATAACCCGAAGTCTGGACCGGGTGGAGACGTGAACTGGTGTCAGTAGTTAAACTACTAGTTTTGCGTTGTTTGTTGACGGGCTCTTCGAGTCGGTTGGTCTGAAATATGTCACAGTTGGCATCACATGATCATTCTAATAATAGCCAAATGACTGAATGAATGCTTTAGGTTGCCAGCATAGGGAAGGGTATGGGTAGATGGTTGGAGCGACGAAAGGAGACAGACAAGAATAAATAAGTACAGAATAACAGGGCGCTGACTCTGAGAAAATAGTGAGGGTGGATCAGCCCTCTCTTAAAAGTTTCTGGGGGGGGGGTGTTCAAGAAATCTTAGTTTACGAGCATATTATTAATAATGGTGCAACTAACGTTTTCGGGCCCAGGGACACCGAGATTGGCCGTTCATTGGTGTATCTTAACCTTTCACACGGGCGATTTTTTCTTACAGAGGTTTCAGGCTGCAGTCTCTTACACTAGGATGAATGAACGACGAATCACGTTGTGTTTGGGCTCGAGTTAGTGAGGTATTCTACGATAATAGTAATAATTATTATTATTGGTAAAGGTAATATATATTTCTCCACTCCCCGCCCATATACACGCTAGCTCACTTCAGATTAGTAGTTCCTAAACCTGTCACAAGGTTACAGGGGGGGGGGGGTGTTCCGTAATGCCGTTGATATCGCATGTGGTATATTTCCGCATGCCTGCGCTTTTAACACTCCAAAAACACGGAGAAACTTGTCATAACACAATCCCCATAGAGAGTGCTGCAACCTATGTCACATGCATTCTCTTTCTGTGAATGAAAACGTAAATGCAGGACACCACAGAAAGCAAACAATAGAGCGGGACACACCCGTGACCTTCAGAAAAGTCGACCAGCCCAACAAACTTGTGAATGAAAAGGGATCTACTCTATTTGGGGAGATTAACTCTATTTGGGGAGATTAACATGAACTAAAGTGTATAATAATATATTTAAAATATGAAGAAATGTATAAACATATACTTGGAAAGATATTGTCTTTATATCATACGAATAAAGGGGACTACTTAGCCCCATTTTGGGTGGGGTGTTGTTAGGCTAACCTTCCCCCCCCCCGTCCCCCTAACTCACCGAACCCTTAGAATTTCTGTGGGGAAAAAAAGGTTTGGAGGGGGGGGGGGTGCGAGGGTTCAAAGGAACCTCAGCCCCTAGGTTACGGAGTTACCACAACAGAAACAAATTGAAACAACCCTTAGGACTGGGTCGATGACAAAAAAAATGGTGGGGGGGGGGAGGAGCCTGCTTTCAAACTTTTCGTTCGGGGGGGGGGGGAGTAAGGGGAGGGGTTATTTCTTTAATAATAATAATAATATCCATATTATTGTGCTGAATGGCAAATAAATAAATATAGTACTGAAATAAAATATCTTAAACAAAAACTTAAAACGACAACTTTTACACATAATTGTGTTTGGATCCTCTTTGCACTTGTGTGTGTGTTTTGAGTTAAAAAAGGGGGGGGTGGGTGGTTGTGCGCTCTCAACTCTGNTTTGGGGAGATTTAACAGAACTAAAGTGTATAATAATATATGTTAAAATATGAAGAAATGTATAAACATATACTTGGAAAGATATTGTTCTGTTATATCATACGAATAAAGGGGACCTACTTAGCCCCATTTTGGGTGGGGTGTTGTTAGGCTAACCTTCCCCCCCCCGGTCCCCCTAACTCACCGAACCCTTAGGATTTCTGTGGGGAAAAAAAAAAGGTTGGGAGGGGGGGGGCGTGCGAGGGTTCAAAGGAACCTCAGCCCCTAGTTACGGAGTTACCACAACAGAAACAAATTGAAACAACCCTTAGGACTGGGTCGATGACAAAAAAAATGGTGGGGGGGGGGGAGCCTGCTTTCAACTTTTCGGGGGGGGGGGGGGAGAAGGGGAGGGGTTATTTCTTTAATAATAATAATAATATCCATATTATTGTGCTGAATGGCAAATAAATAATATAACTGAAATAAAATATCTTAAACAAAAACTTAAAACGACAACTTTTACACATAATTGTGTTTGGATCCTCTTGCACTTGTGTGTGTTTTGAGTAAAAAGGGGGGGGGGTGGTTGTGCGCTCTCAACTCTGAGAACATATATCAAGAAACCAGAATTTAATGCATAGTTTACTTTACAGGTTAATGCTATATCCTTTAGAGCAGTGTTTCACAGGGGGGGGGGGGGGGGGGGGTAGTTTTTTTTTTTTTTTTTAAACGGGGGGGAAAAGGGGGGGGGGGTTTGAAAATGTACTTGTCCACAGCGGAACATACGAATTTTAGAAAAGCTTAGGTGGGGCATGGTACAAAAAGGGTTGGGAAACTGCATTAGAAAACTGTCACGGCTGTCTGTTTTACCACTTTTTGGGGCGGTGTAAACTAGGGAGCCTTGAGCCTGAGGTTTAAGGGCCGCCTGGCTAGTGCTGTCTCCACGGACTGTGCAGGTCAGGGTGTTTAACTTTGCTCCCGACAGAAAAACTCAAATCACCTTACCAGGAGTGGGACTCGGGTTTCCCCGCATGAGAATCCGACGTTGAAACCGCTCGGCCAGCCGCTTCTCGAGGGTGTTTTAGAGGCTGTTGCAAATCCACCCCAGTTGTTTGCGGTTTTACTATCAATTTACTTTCAGTATTTTACCATTGCAAATTTGGTCGACACCCTGTACCATTCTCAAAATAATGCGAAGCAGTCTGCTACCGGTACGACTGAATCGAACCTAGTATTTAGGAATTATGAATCATGTTCGTTACTCATAAGCCACAGACGCCGACTGTTTTACTAAAACAACAGAATTTGAAAGAAAAAAAAACAGATATTATTGGCAGATATATATACATTTATATTATACATCCTTGAAATTATTTAATCAATACAGAATTTTACCTAATGCAGAAGCCCAATCAGATCTCAAATTGCTTGGGAATGTTGAAATATTTGAGAGCTGGTCGAGATTTCTGGGCCATTAGCTGGCTAAGATCATTTTTTTAAATTAGTAAAATTGCCGTTGCTAAAATGTGCAAAGATTTGATAAGAATGGTTGAGTAATGTCTGCTATTTCTAGCTACAAATGTAGCGAATAATGCAAAATTAATGTCTGCTGTTTCCAGTTATTTATTTAGCCTGAGCATGTGGAAGAGCAAATCAGCATCACAGCCAAGGTCAATATTTACAAATCGCTGGTGTTGTCTATTTTCTTATGTGGGTGTGAGAGTTGTATTCTCACTGTGGAAATGGAAAAGAGAAAAAATATACACACTAGCGGGACATCAGGAGCCTCTCTTGGCAATGATAAAACGTCGCAAGCTAGCTTGGTTCGGGCACGTGGTGAGACATGATTAGATTGCAAAGACTGTTCTTCAAGGAACATTGGGGGGGGGGGGGGGGGGGGTGTCAAAGTAGAGGGGGCAAAGAAGAACCTGAAATGACAACTAAAATTGTTTAACCTGCATAGATCTTGGAAACTGCGCTGGCCTGGGACCCTAAACGATCAGACACAAGACGCCTTGTCCTCCTACACCAGTGCCTCTCAAACTTCCTAATGCCGCGACCCTTTAATACAGTTCCCCCGTATCCTGGTGACCCCCAGGCAATTATTTTACCTCATAACTTCAATACATATATGTTTTCCAATGGTCTTAGGCGACCCCTGTGCTAGGGTCGTTCGACCTCAAAAAGGGTCGCGACCGGCAGGCTGAGAACCACTGTCCTACACCCTCCTAAAAAATATAATATATGCAAGCAGTGAAGAGTTTTTTTTTTTTTAATGTTGGTTAGGCTATATTATTCTATTCTATAGCCAAAGTGTCCGAAATGTCTGCCAAAGTCCCTCTGTCGACTGCCAGATTGACTCTTTATGCCAAGTCTAACATCTGTCCGATGAACCACCCGAAAGTTTGTCACTATGGTCGTATGATCTAATTTGCAGCGACTATATCAGTA